AAGAGGGAGGAAAAAGAAACAGAGAGAAAGGCACATATGAAATGACAAATTTCTTTTCAAAATCTCTTCATACATGAAGAGAAAACTTGGAGAGAAAATATGAAAGGTTTTACCTTCTATTTTCTTTTTCATTTTTCCTTTCTCTGTTTTTTTTTTCCTCATGCAAACAGAAAAAAATTTATTTTCTTCCTAATTTTTCCCTTATACTTTCTTCCCTCTTACATTTTCTCTCCAAACAAACAAAGCATAAAGGAACTCGGCGAATATGAAAAGCATGAAGGTTCTCTCGAACTTGATCAAGCTAGAGGAGGCAAGTCAATGGGTCTTTGATTTCTTCAAGACCGCTTACAGATCAATATAATTCCCACCATCATGGAAGTGTACAACCTCAGCGAAATTGTTACCCCCTCTTGGCTCTGCTCCACACTGTCGCTGCAAGATCTGCAAGATTTCCCATATTATCAATCCCAATGTTGATCTCTCTTCCTCATCAATATGCTTTTTCCATTGATCAAGTATTTTGCCACATTCCTTCTTCCCCCAACAACTCCAGAATCTTATTTTTATGTTTTTGTGTAAAGCTTTGACTTTTTTTTGGGTGAAGTTGGATTGAAAATGAGAAACTAATCTTATAGCCCTAAAACTACAAAAATGCATCATCTCATGTAAACAAAAAAAAAAAAAAACTACTTATAACCCAGAAACTACTTCAAAACCATCTTGTTTTATTCTATCCCAACTTAAGAACAAGCCATTTTAGTTTGCAGGGAAAATGTTCCATGACAGTGGGGCTTCAACTTGTTTTCAAAGAATGGGAGACTAAAATTGGGAGAGCCTCAATTTGTGGGGACTTGGCTTTGCTCCCATGAGGCTTTTCTCGAAGGAGGCTCCGCTACATTCAACAAAGATTTGGAGGGTGTAAATTTTATATTTTATATTTTATATTTATTAAAATAGAAAATATAAATTTTCAAATATTTTAATAAATTTGCTCATCAATTTGGACAATCTAAATTTAATATTAATGGTCCAAATTTAATATTTAATTTTTATAAATTAATTATCTAAACAGATATATTTTGAATAATGCAGATTTAATATGAATGGTTTACATTTGATAGTAAAATTTTTTATAAATCGACTATCCAGCTTATAAAAACATTTTATATCAAAATGTACATCCAAATAATCAACTTATAAAAATTATAAAAATTAAATATTAAATTTGGACTATTAATATTAAATCTAGAGTGTTTAAATTGGTAGCAAGATTTACTAATTTTTTATTTTAATAAAAATAAAAAATATTAAATTTAGACCATTCAAATCTTAATTGAGATGCAGCGCAGCCACCTCCAAGAAAAGCCAAGTCCAATTTGTTGAGTGTCCCAACTTACGAGTGAAATTGGAAGAACCTTTGCTGGTGAGCCTCAAGTGTTTTCACAGTTGAGAGAAATTGAAGGCAAAAAATGGAAAATGATAAATGTCTTTGTGTGTTGAGGGGGAAGAGGAAGCTTTTAAGAATAATACTATCATTTCATTAAAAACGTTAATTTTAGAGAAGTACGAATGGATTTCAGAGTCATTAAGCCATTTCACGAGCCTTATTTGGGATATTCATATTTCAATGGTATTTATGTATCGTTTTTCCTAACAACGGATTCTTGTGAGTCTCTTTTTTTAGGGCACATCCAAGTTTCAAAACTCAATTCTTTTTAATTTTTTTTTTAAATTCAAACTTTTATAAAAACATGTTTAAATAATTCGGCTCTACTTTCAGTACTTTTGGAGTATCGAAATTGGTATCCAAAACACTCATTAATTTAATTTCTTTTGATAATCAGATTACATATACACATGTACATATATATTTAAAGCTAATAATATATGTCAACTTGCAACTTGTGGGTTGACCTCGCAATGAGTTGTTAGTTTGACAGAGTGGGTTGATATACCTTGCATTTTTTGTGGGTTGAATTTTGCCAACCCGTAATGGGTTTGTGGATTAGCGAGCCAAGCTACAAGTAAAAAAGTAATTTTTTATAATTTTTTAAATTTTAAAAATTATAACTTTACCTCTTTTTATTATTTTTTTCATAGTAAAAAAATTATATATTCTCCCTAAAAATTAATTATCCAAATAATAATTAAAGTCTTTCTAATTAAGACATGCTTATATCACTACTTAAATATAAACTAATTAAATTTTGTGAGTTCTTTGGTCTTTTACATGACTAATCAATATTATACATATATAAATTAATAAAAATGCTTTGTTTATTTTCTTTTCTCTTCATCTTGTTTTGACATTTTTTCTAAAAAATTGGTGCCTCAATTTAAAATACCAATTATTTTTTTTTAAATAATAATGATCTAAACTCTTATTATTAAATTGTTACTCATAATACATTCAGTTCATATTTCAATATCTCTATATTTATTTTTTTCCTTTTTATGTTCAAATTAAGATGATAATATAATATATGATTAGCACTTCATAAATATGTTTAATTTTTTAAATGAAAGGGCAAATAAAATTTTTTTATTTGCTAGCTAGTCTAGCACTATTTTACAAAAATATTTTATTCAATCTTATCTTGATCACATTCATATTATATTATATTATTACTTAAATATATGAGCAATGTGTTTTTATTATTTTCTACCATAATTTAAACTTTTTTAAATAAATGTAAAAGTATCAAGTATTTAGATCATAATTTAATACATACTTGCTTTGAATACTTTATTTTAAACTAAATCTCAGTTATTTATTTTTATTTATTTTTTAAAAATATAAGCAGGTCAACCCATCAATCCACAGGTTAGCTTGCTGTGAGTTCAAGTTATACAAAGCAGGTCAAAACTGCCCTACATATAATTGAACTCATTTTTTTTTAGCTCAATCTGTAACTTTTTTTGTAGGTTATTGGGTTGAGCTCACAAGTCTAACTCATATTATTGGCTTTATATATATTAATGCTGTGTTTATCAACAAAGATGGGTTTAATTGATGAAAATTTGATTAATAATGAATTCAAATTTTATTGTAGATATAATAACTTGTTGGTGGATAATTGGTAAGTACTTTTATAAGTGTTTTTTGAGTTTTTAAGGATATTCTAATCTAATGGTGAACCCCAAACTAACTCACCTAAACTTTACATATACCACCAAAAAAAATTTGTTTAAACTCGAATAGTTTATAACGAGGGATGTGATTCTGTTACTGGAATAGTTTACAGTTGAACAAAACACTCTCCAATTGATATCATGAAAATATGAAATTTGCTGCGCAGTAAAAAAAAAATATTTGTGATAGATTCTCACATATTTTTATAAAAAGACTGTTCAACTTGTTTCTTATTATGAAGAGTGCTTAGATTTAGATACCGCTTTTGGTACTCCAATCCATTTTTTTTCCCTATCCACTCAAACTCAATGTGTATGTTTGGATAGAAAAAAAATATTTTTTAAAATCTAATATACAGAACTTAAAAGTCATACATTAGTTTGAAAAACATAGGCAGGAATTGTTTTTACCATTCTGAAAGTTAGTCTTACAAAATAAAAACATTTGAACTGTTATAAACTAAAATTTACTTATGTAAATAATTATTCTTTTTAAGAAAAAATTGTTTAAATGAATATTCATATAGTTATTAGCTTTATAATAAAATTTATTTTAATATATTATAAAAATAATTCTTAAGAATATAAACTCAGTTTTGCATAATTTATTTTTTTTTATAAAAAAATATAAATAACGCGACACTCATCAAATAGTTGTTTCCTGCATGATATCGGAATTGGAACCTTTTAAAGAAATCATTCTTAAGTCACGGATTTGATTACTTGAGTGCTGTGATATTATTATTTTATTTTATTATCATTTTAATTATTTTAATCTGGTACGTGACCCGATATCTGCTTGGATATACAATTTCAGTTTCAAATTCGGCAAGTTCATGTTGAAATGTAAGTTAATATCACAGAAATGACATACTGGAGTAATAAAAAAAAAAAAAAGTCTGAAAGGAGTTTGTCCCCACCCAGCCTTCGAAATAAATATCGTGTTATGATCTTTGATGGAAATTGATTTTTCTTTAAGGATGATTAATTCACTAACAAAGAAGGTTTTTTTTTTTTTTTTGTTTAACGAACGAACATTTCACTAACAAAGAAGTTTGAAAGTGGGACATGGACTAAAAATCAAACAGATAATTAAATCAGTTAAAGTACTGGTTGTCTAGTTAATGATCATATTAATGATTAAATTTTTTTATTTATTATTGTTGTATTATTATGAATATAAAAAAGGTTACGAATTTAAAAAAAAAATTGTGAGTCATTTATTTTCAATAAGAGTAATTTAATAATTTATATAAATTTATTAATGACAGAAAAATTTTTAAAAATTTTAAAAAAATTATGATATTTTGAATAATCAAATTATCATTTATATATTTTAAAAATATTTGATTATTATTTTTCCTTCAAACTATCTTCTTTTATTATTTACCAATTTCTTATGCTCTAAATAATACTATCCCATAACCATATATATAATTTGACTTGTAAAGACATGTGATAAAAGCATTGATTATAATGAAGGAATTCTAAACGTTGAAGTATAAGATTTTGAGATTGATTATGTATAAATACAAAAGACATATTTAAAAGAGCTACTCTCAATTAGTTTTGATAACATTTAAAATTGACACATTCAAATAGACATATAAAAAAAAACACTGTACCATAACAAATAGTTTTTTTATAATGATTTTTTATACAAAGTAATTTTATAAGAAGAATCATGAAATGTTTTTTAACAGATAAGTTATGCATTGACACAGAAGTGGAGAAAATATATTTTTATTATAACAAAAATGTCTATAAATGCCCTTGAAAGTTACCTTTAACATCTATTTATTTCCCAATAGACCAAGTTGGACGGCAGGTCATCATAACGGCTTAAAATAATTGAGCCGACGAATATATCACGAACACAAAGCATGTCACAAGCTTTGTTGGTCTGCCAACCCAACTTCAGTAGAGCTTGCAGGGAAGAAGAAAGAACTGCACGATACGTGACTCTACCCTAAAGCCTTTATATTTACAAGCAAGCACGCTGCGACAATCCCACTCCATTCCCACCAGGTGTGTGTTTTGGCTCATTCTTTCTCCTTCCTCCGCGTGTTTGTGTTTTTCGTTCTGTTTTTTTTTTTTTAAATAATTTATTCTAAATATTTATCTGGACGATCATTTTCGTGCCTAAATGCCTCCCTTCTTCGCCTCTTCCACTTAATGCTAGATCTTGATTTTCTTCCATTTTCCATGGGAATTTTGGTTCCCGGTCTCTTGAAGAACGGGGCAATCGTGGATATGTAAATTCTACTCTGGAAAAACTTTTGGGGTCTAGTTGAGAGATGAAGGAATGGAAAAGGCTATGCTGCTTGAATTGGCGTTCCGGCGATTTGCGAGTTTCAATTTCTGCAATGGCGTTCGATCGATCCCAGAAAGAGGCGATTTTTAGTTTTTAACTCCTAGAGTATGTGGCCGGTACCTCTTTTTGGTCTATTTTGGTACATGGGTTCCGTCATTTTCAAGAAACGATTGAAAACTTCGATGCTTTTGATTGCTTAAAATTTTATTTTTAAAAGAAGCTAGCATGGGAAGTTGTGATTTCTAATTTGTATTTTCCGTTTGATTATGATACAAGGGGACAAAATGCCGCCATTTGGTAATACCTAAGACGAGGTAAGCTTTTGAACTTTCTCGAGCTGAAATAAGTCGATGATTTCCGACATTTTCCATTTTTTTTCTTCCTTTTGTGTGTTCAAATGTAACAATGTAGAATGGTGTGGTGAGAATGTGAATACTTCTTCTTCATCGTTATCTGGAACGAGCTTTTAGTTTTTGGTGTCTGCTTAATCCTGGTTTGACTTTGGTTCTCAGGGCTTGAAAATGGCTGACACAAGCTCAGTTGGACCAATTTTGGACTTCCTAAGGAGGAATCGCTTCACAAAAGCTGAGGCAGCTCTTCGCAGTGAACTCCATAATCGTCATGACTTAAATGGCTTCCTTGAGAAGCTTACCCTGGAAGAAAAAGCCTCACATAAGTCAGAAAATGACAAGGGGAAACCCGCGGTAGATCAAGGACTGGATTTTTATGACAAAGTGGAAGTTTCTAAAGAATTGATTGTGAAGGAAATAGAGTGCAGGACTGGTGGAAATGCAACAGAAAGCAAATGTAAAAGTACTTATATTGGGGAGAGGAAAAAATCTAATGAAGTAGTTGGGGCAAGTGACAAATACTTCGCTTTCCCCAGAAGTTCAGAGGATAGGATGCTTGATCTGTACTCTAGTAAGTCAAATTCTGGCAATGGTTCTTTGGAGCCTTACCAAAATGGCAGTAGTATTGCCAACAATACTTCAAAGGCCCTGGTTTCTCAGCGAATAAAACATGAAACAAGTGAAGCTCATGATATGGCCCTCAATCATGCAAAATCTGGAGACGAAAGTGCTGTGACTACTGAGAAACAATTCTCATGGCCTGGAAGTAATAGTAGAGCCTCTGTAGAACAAAGATATGGTGGCATGCAAATCAATGAACCTAGGGAACATGATTACCAAGTGAAATTGAAAAACTCATCTTTTAAAGATAACTTTGCAGATAATTTCTGGTCAAGAAAGGATGAGAATGAGATTTCATCTTCAGACCTGCTGAGTGATTGTTCTGTCAAGGCCGTTTTCCCCTTCTCCAAGGGAGAGATATCTAAAAGACGTGATGATGTAACTTTCTCTGAAAGAATAGAGGGAAAAAGGACAGAAATAATTGGTATCAGCGCAGCAGCAAAAAGGCAGGTGGATGAAGTTGGGAGAGCGATTTATGTAGTTAATTCACAAGGCAGCTCTGAACAGAGGACTCTTGGCAGCTTAAATTTTCCTGTTTTTCCTGAGAATCAGAAGGAGGAGTTACCGAGACTTGCTCCTGTTAAACTCAAGTCAGAGGAGAAGCTCTTGGCTGTTAATTGGGAGGAGAAATTTGAGCAGGATGAACCTTCTTCAAAAGTTCCTGTTGTTGACAGCAATTTACTTATGGGATCATATGTTGATGTGCCTGTTGGACAAGAAATTAACCTTGCAGGTTAGCTTATGGATAAATATTATCAATAGTATCAAGAAAATGCACTATGTGAAGAAGAAATTGTGATGTTTAATTGAATTATAGTTTGGGGCTCTTGTCCTTTTTAAAATAATGATACAGTAAAATAAAATGATGGCATGTGATACACATCCCTAGTAGGTCCAGCATCTTTATTGCAATCCTTAACGATAAACAAACTCCAAGTCACCACAAATTTGGTGATTACACATGATAACCTTAATTTAATCAGCTGGTATGTATTCATAAATCAAAATGGCACAGGCTCAAGGGCTGTTATGAATTTTATAATTATATCCTGAATCACAATAATTTCTTCATCATGCACTGCTCTACATATTCTCAGAAATATTCCCTGTATTTCAATCAGCTGTCTTTAGTCAGGGTCTAAATTAGTAGTTGCATTTCTTGGCTGGTCATGATGATAGGTTATTTTGTGTGCTCAACAACAGTTTGGCCTCTTCCTAGACTTGAAACTTAGGTGTTATTAGTCCTTTTTGTTTATTCTGTTATCCTTCATTTTAATTTGTTGAAATTTTAAAGTTCTCTTAATAAAAAATTACAATATTTTGTGGTTTATTTGGTACAACATTTTTTACTGCTATTTTCTTGTAGAGAATTAAAATTCTGTTAGTACAGTTCAAACCATCAAGCGAATGAGAGCAATGTAGAGTATGAAGGGAACTTGATTCCTAGAAAAAATTTCAGCATGAATGAGATTGTTTCTTACCAAGCAAAGTCATATGGTAAATCAATTTTCATTCCCCTTTGCAATTCTTTCACACCAAACGTACGCTGACAGATTTTCAATAGTGACAGAAAGCTATTAGCAAAGATTGGTTCTTAGTTCTGGCCTTTCTGTCCGATCTATAATAAAATAAAAAAAATGACAAACTATTTCCAAATAAAAATGATATGAAATGCAGTGCAACATTTTGACAAGTTGTGCCTTCCATCTAGAATCTAAAACTGATCTTAAAATCTGTTCAACTTTCTGAGTACTTACTTTGATTCTTGCTAAGAAGCAACTTCAGCGCTGTGTTATATTTATTTCTCATTGTATCAATTATACACGCTACATTATTTGGTTGATTTCTTTGTTCTAAGGACTAGCTTTGACTTCCACATGTGTGCTTCAGGAATGAGAAGAGCTGCAGGGGGCAGTTGGCTATTTGTAAATCAGGGGATTATAGAGGATACATCTGATCTTGTATCTAGTTTTGCCACAGTTGGTGGTGGGTTGGGTGAATCTGTTGACTATTCCAATGAGTACTGGGACTCTGATGAATATGACGATGACGATGATGTTGGCTACATGAGACAACCTATTGAGGATGAAGCCTGGTTTTTGGCACATGAGATTGATTATCCGAGTGACAATGAAAAGGCAACTGGGCATGAAAGTGTTCCAGATCCTCAGGACAGAGGTCCAGTCAAAGATGAAGATGATGGTCAATCTTTTGGTGAAGATTCTTACTTCTGTGGAGAGCAGCGTGCTCAACTAAAGAATGTTGAACCAGTCATAATGTCAGATGATTCAATTGGTTTGATGATAACTGAAATGCACGGAAACACTAAAAAGAATGGATTAATGGTTCAATATGATGGACAATTGATGGATGAAGAGCTGAATCTAATGCATGCAAAACCTGTCTGGCAGGGCTTTGTCCCTCAGACAAATGAATTGATCTTGCTAGGAGGTGGGCAGGCTCTGAATAACAGGGAAAGATCACAACTTCTGGACATACGCATTGATAATGTTCAGCATGGTTCAGTAAGGTCAATTGGGGTGGGGATCAACAGTGATGCTGCAGATATTGGCAATGAAGTGCGTGAAAGTTTTGTTGGTGGTAGCAGTGAAGGGAATTTTGGTCATCTCTGTGATTGTGACGTAGGACATGGTTGTTCCAGACACTCTCAGCATGATTTAGATAAAAAGTCCTCTAATAAATTGAACAAAAATAAGAAGAAAAATGGCAAGAGTGAGTTAAATAAGTATGTCACTGGGGATGATGAAGGTGTAGTCTTGCAGACTAATGCTCATTCTGATGTAAGCTTCTCATTAACCCAGTCACTGAACAATGGCCAGATGATCCAGGCTGGTTCCAGTAAGCCACTATGGTCCAATAACTGCCATGCTGGTGAAAATGATGACTGTCTTAATGCATTTGTGAGATCTGATGACATGCTTACTTCTTGGAAGAAGAAAAGTAGTGATTCTTCATCCATTAAAAGTTCAAGGGATGAGAGTAATGGTAATGAAGTAAGATCCACTAACTCTTCTCCAACAGCAGTCTCAAGTTGTGGATATACTGAAAGAGCACAGGTAAGGCTAGAAGAAGATGAACAAGCTGACATTGCAGGGGAAGAAGACTTGGGGACATTGCTGGAAGATGAAGATGCTGCTGCTGTTCAAGAGCAATTACGGCAAATAGAGGCCCAGGAAGAGGAGTTTGAAACCTTCAATTTAAAGATTGTGCATAGGAAAAACAGGCAAGTTTTCATATTTATGCTGACCTGAGATATAGATTACTAAGCTTCAAAGTTCTTCTGAAATCATGATCACTAACAATCTCTGCTATCAATCAATCAATATATAATATAAAATGTGTAGAGAACCACCCTGTTTGCAGCTTGTGAATAGGCTCATATTGGGCTCTATGTAAATGCAGATGCCCACTCTAGTTTTTCATATATCTAAAAATTCCTTGTAGAAATTGGCATGTTTGAAGGCTTCTTGATACTGCTATTTTCTGCAGCTGGACTTCCTTTTGTTCCTTTAGGTGTTTAGAAAAAAGATATCCTTTTAATATACTGCGTGTCTTAACTTCGAGTTCCAAATATGGTAAATATAACCTGTGATTGCATGCGTATTGGCTTTGTTAATCTCATCAAGGCTTTGGTCAAAGATAATGGCTGCAAATAAATTATTTTCTTTTCTTTTGTTTTTTTTAAACTTTGGAAAATCACCATCACTATAAGTTGATTACGTGCCTGGTCATGTGATTGGGGGTATTCCAATGCTGTCGATTAGTTGATGATTGTTTTAAATTCCTAAATTTGCTTCATTTGTTTATTGTTAATGCATTTTATTCTTTGTAACATCAGCAAAAGAAAAAAGAAGAAAAGCAAATGTACTGAGACAATGTAGTGCAGAAATGCTTGTCATGATAATTCCTTTAAAGATATTGTTGAAATAGTGAGATAGTGCCCTCCATGGGAAAGGTAGACGCTGATATCTAGTGAGTCTTTTGGTCTTGTGTAGAAGGCTTCAATGAACCTTGATATCTTGTTTCTTTTTCTTCTATAATTTTTCTGGACCCTTGTTTTGTTGCTCAGAACTGGCTTTGAGGAGGACAAGAATTTCCATGTTGTTTTAAATTCTGTGATAGCGGGGCGCTATCATGTTACTGAGTATCTGGGATCTGCTGCATTCAGCAAAGCCATACAAGCTCATGACCTGCATACAGGCATGGATGTTTGTGTTAAAATAATAAAGAACAACAAGGACTTCTTTGACCAAAGCCTTGACGAGATTAAGCTTCTCAAGTATGTCAATAAACATGATCCTGCAGACAAGTATCACATTCTTCGATTGTATGATTATTTCTATTATCGAGTAAGTAATTGTTGAAGATGCTAGTGATTTTTTTTTTACCAAGTTTGTACTTTCAGTTAATTCCTGTTCCAGGCGTGTGTGTTTTTGTCTACTCTTTTTCCCATGTCATCCATCATCTGGCTATGGGGTCCCACTTTTGTCATTGACTTGTTGGTTCCGTTATTTTCTTTATTGACTATCTCAAGTATATTCTGTCATTAAAAGCTCAGAATTTTTCTCTTGGCCAAATCTTTTGTTGTGCATGAGGAGTCTGGATTCCTTGCAATGGGGGATCCTGCAGCATGACGTGCAGCAACTGTTTCAAGGCTTCTTTTATGGACTAAAAATTTAGTGGGAAAGATAAAAGTTGTAATTATGAGGACAAACAATTGTAACTATGAGAGAAAATTGCACTTTAAAAATATGATTTTTTATGGTCCAGTTAATTTTTTTTTTAAACTATTCTGCTTTCTCAGTTACAATTTTTATCTTACTCACAATTTTTTTTTTGTCCCTGGAAAAAATGAACTTCCAAAGGTCTTACCCACATTTTGTCCTGTCTGGCAACTAGTTTTGACACGGACTAGGTTACTTGTTAAAAATTATAATGCAAAGCGTAAGGCAAGTGAACATAGTAGAATATGAAATTAAGCTGTCATTGAAATTTTTTCATTTGGAAATACAAACATCAGCTTCATATGCCGGGACTTGAGTTTTATCTATATCTGTATGTATTTAACGGACGTTCATGGATGGCCTTTTCTCCAAATTGATATAGGTTATGGTGGATACTCAGTACTATTTGCTTAATTTTTCTTCCATATTTATTTGTGCTGGCAGCTGCAAATAAAGCCTACTTCCAAGTTCTGATGTGTCCAACATTTGTTGGAGATGGACATGACTTACTATTTAGTGTTGGTGCTTTATGAATTTTAGCATCATATACAGCTGCAAAATATCAACACTGGTGCTTAATTTCAAAATAAATTCATTCATTATCGGACTAGTAATTATATAGGCTATGATGTTGTGGTGGGTAAAGATACTGTTGCCCATCTGACTTTGTTGCATGTCATGTATGCATATTTTTATTTATTTACTGATTTCCTAAATTATTGATAGTTGACTTGACCTTGGCCAGTTGATTGACTACTGTTTTGTTCTTTTTCCTGTTATTCTATAGGAACATTTGCTAATAGTGTGTGAACTGCTTAAAGCCAACTTATATGAGTTTCACAAATTTAATAGAGAATCAGGGGGCGAAGTATACTTCACAATGCCAAGATTGCAGGTTTGTGGCGTTCCATCTAGTTCATGAATCATGATGTCTTATTTTCATCTTGTCTGCCAACATTAAAACTCTCCTGAATCTATTTGTGCAGTCAATCACAATTCAGTGTTTGGAAGCACTGCAGTTTTTGCACAGCCTTGGACTTATACATTGTGACCTGAAGCCAGAGAATATTTTGGTGAAAAGCTATAGTAGATGTGAGGTGAAGGTCATTGATCTTGGGAGTAGTTGTTATGAGACTGATCACCTTTGCTCATATGTCCAGTCCAGGTCCTATCGTGCTCCTGAGGTTATATTGGGACTTCCATATGACAAGAAGATTGATATCTGGTCACTTGGCTGCATTTTAGCTGAACTTTGTACTGGTAATGTAAGTATAATATATGGACAATGCATTGCAGAATTAATATACTGTTTGAATTTTTCATTAGCAGCGATTAATCTAAAGCCATAGGATTTCTCACCCAAGGGAAGCTCGAGTCCTTGATAAAGTTCTAAAATGTTATCCATTACCTCAGTTCCAGATTAAGTTTTCCTGTAGTTAAGGTCACTAGTTAAGCCTTTCTTCTATGCAAGGATATTATTTTTCCTTTATAATCATTCCTTTTGGATACTAAAGTCTCTGGTTTAAATAGACTTAGATTAGCTCTGCACATTGCAATGATTTGATGCCACAGTGCTTGACAGTGAATAGTGTTTTAACTTTGGATTTTGTTAGTTTTCTTTGGTTAATGATCTTTCCAGTTGCTGAAAATTCATGTCAGTCTGTGGTTGTGATTGCCAAGAATGGCATTCTGTTACAAAAGTTGGTGAGACTGTTGCGGAAATTATTGCATTACTTATATGAATGTGGGACATTCATGGCAAAATTATTGTTACCTTTTTTCTTTATGGGGGGCCAGGGGTCCTATTAGGGCCGCCTTCCCTTTTGTATGATTATACAATCAAGATACACTGTCTTTCCATGTTCATGCTGTGGCTTGATGTTGATACTTGTTTATTCAGGTCCTCTTTCAAAATGATTCACCTGCAACATTACTTGCTCGGGTGATCGGCATCATCGGTCCAATTGATCAAAATATTCTTGCAAAAGGAAGGGATACATCCAAGTACTTCACCAAAAATCATATGCTTTATGAACGGAATCAGGTCAGAATTGCATTTTCAGTTTACGTTGTAAACAAAATGGACTGGCCAGCAATCTTGAAACTATGTTTCTTATATATTTTTTTTCCTTTTTCTTTTTAATTACACAAGGAGGGTTTGAATTTTTGACCTCTACTCACACTTCACCCCACTCTTACCGCCTGAGTTGCTGCCCTAGGTGGCTTCGTTCTTACTTTTTTATATGCTTGCACCGAATATCAGAATTTAGATGTTTGGCATCTGGTTTTGCAAAATGGATCCCCAATCCCCTGTATTCAAAGAAAGTTAATGCAGGTTGCTGTCATATAATACTAACCATTAGATGCATCCAAGAATCTGAAGCGCAACTCATGGCAATTGGTTTTTTATTATTATCAAATTGATTGATTCCATTGTCCTTGATCAGTCTCTCTCACACACAAAATAGTCTCTTTCTTGAAAGGTTCTCTTTGTCGAAGTAGTTCCTTCCATCTATATTATGATCTTCTTTTGTGAACAAAATTATCCAGGTTCATTATTAAGGGGGGGAGACTATATTTTGAATTCTCTACTAGTTTTTCAGTAATCAATCCCAATAGTTAGACAACAGGCCAGAGTATTTAATGAACAGCAACTGAGAGTCTAAAATCCACCATGGGACCATGCTGTTTAAAAGCTTCATGCCAATCATTTTTTATGAATTATTGTAAATCTAAGGTCTTTAAACCTTTTGTCAGAGCAGTTTTGACAGAATTTTTTAGAGGGAAGAAGGGAATTGATTTTGAGGAGGGGGGGACTGAGTTTGTTGATCTAGTTTGGAATTTTTTTTTTTGTTTAATTAAAGTCATTGCCATGTGTCATGCTGCAGGAAGTTAGATGCATCTAATGGTTTTTATCTGTTAATTTTGTTTCTTTTCAATGCACACTGAAGAAACCAGTGAGAATACACTTGCTGACAAGCCTGTTGCTGTCACCACCTGAGTGGAAAATAACAGAAGACACACATTCAACTGATCTGTGTGAATATGAGGATGCTGTTATGCACATTTATCATTTCCTGCCTGTCCAACTACTCAACAATTGATATTAAAAAAAACGACTCGACAGTTTAAAATATAGAACTTGATTATGTTTAGTGAAATGGAAGTCCAGGACTTCCTAACCAGACAAATCGTTCACTAAACCTGGGTAGAAACAGCAGAAAATATGCATACAATTGAATTATTTGATTATCATAATAATCTTTACTTATAGTTAATCCAAATAGTTGATCCCATTTCGTGGGATAAGGTTTATTGTTGTTGTTGTTGTTGTTGTTGTTGTATAGTTAATCCATGTACAGGGTTGCTCTTATTCACTTACATTTGCCGCCTCATTCATTCATGTACAATGCTTGCTGCAACTGGACTTAATTTGTTTTAATTTTTAAATAATATGATAAGAATCTGAACTTCGTACTGACACGATATCACTAAGGTTTGAGCGGCAGATTTGCCACCCATCTACCTTGTAATAGAGAATCACCGTAGTGGAACCTCTTTAAGGATGCCTGATGTCTTTCAAAGATTTTTTTATTATTGTGATCGCTGAATAGGAACTATTCTGAACATCTGAGCTCACGATATTTAAAGCTGAGAATATTTGTGTTTTCGTTTGTTACCCTCAAAGAAGCCAATGAAAGGTAAGCAGGCTAAAATTACTAAAATTGGCCATTTTAGTTCATGTATATTTGTCTTGTTCAGTTTTAGAAGGAAATCAAGGAATAGTTTGACCAATGATTTTCAAATTGATCCTCTCAATATCTTAGTTACTCCAATGTCATTTTGTAACTGCCTATAGTTTCATTTTTATTTTACTTGAAATTTTACGATTAAGTTACTGTCTTGTACAGGAAACCAACAGGTTAGAATACCTGATTCCCAAAAAGACATCTTTGAGGCATAGGCTGCCAATGGGGGACCAAGGCTTCGTTGACTTTGTTGCTTATTTGCTTGTGGTTGACCCAAATAAGCGACCTTCTGCTGCTGAGGCCCTTAAACACCCATGGTTATCATACCCTTACGAGCCCATATCATCTTGATGCATTTGACCTGTAAATTGGAGTTGGGTTCTCATTGAGGGAAGGGTCATTACTTTACCCATACACCCTGGCTGCTTTTCATGATCTATTATTTTAAAGATGATATGGAAAGAAGCACTTCCATATTCATAATGGCATCAAAGGCGTGTTTGTTTCTATGGGCAGTACCTGTCTTTTCCTTGCTCTTACTAGCACGCATTCCAAACTACCGTGATTTAGAATGTAATTTTACATGTTTGATGTAATGCTAGGGTTTTCCTTTGTTTTGGCGGTTCGTGTCAAATCTTCTTGTCCTCCACATGGGATTATTCTTTTAGGCTATTTAGTAATATGTTGTGGAGCTTCTGTCCCTTTTTTCATTGGGTGTGTGACAAGTGACAACCACCTGCTGCACAAATCAAGATTGAAGTAGAGCCACCGAGCTGGTGACTGAACCGCCGCCTTTCCTTTTTTAGTTGGAAGCAACCTGATTGTATTTTGATGGTGTGAAGGAAGCTTCCTGTGGCTTACTTAAGGTACTGGGGATTTGGTAACAGTCTGGTAAATGGATTCTACTGAGAGAGGTGGACTAAGGAAAGCATTTCCCCAATGGTTGTGTTACATTATATTTGTAGTCATTAACTCCGCCTATGTTTATAGCCGGTCCCAAGCCCGGGTAAAGGAGGAGGGTTGTGTTAGGCCATCAACAGCCAATGTAAAAATTTGTTGAATCTATCATGAACATGGACAATAGACGTTATAATGTTAATGCTAGGTCGTTGCCCGTAAGTAACGCGCTGCATGGCTCGAGTACAGTGATAAGTGAGTTAGAGCCGCTGCATCGGCGCCCGGATGTAGTGTTAAATGAGCAAGGGCTACCGCGTCATTCTGGACGCACGCGGCTAAAGAAGTTAGTCCATAAGAGCAAAATTAGATTTGGTACTTGGAATGTTGGGACATTAAATTGTAAATCTGTAGAGGTTGTAGGGGTTATGATTCAAAGGAAAATCAATATCCTTTGCTTGCAAGAAACAAAATGGCGTGGAGAAAGAGCTAAGGATATTCAAGGTTTCAAACTTTGGTATACAGGAAAAGTAAGTGCACGCAATGGAGTAGGCATCATTATAGATAAGGAGTGGAAGAAGAACGTTGTAGAAGTTAGCAGAATTGGAGACAGAATTATTTCTTTAAAAATGATAATTGGACGTGAGACTGTTAATATTGTTAGCGCTTATGCGCCGCAAGTCGGGACAGAAGCCAGTCTTAAGGAATTATTTTGGGAGGATCTGGAGGGGTTGATTCGACACATACCACAGAGTGAAAAGATTTTTATTAGAGGAGACTTTAATGCGCATGTCGGGAGGGAAGCTGGTCAGTATGCGAGGGTGCATGGTGGTTTTGGTTTTGGAGAGCTAAACAATGAAGGGCAAACTCTTCTTGATTTCTCATTGGCATATGATTTTAAAATTGCCAACACTTGTTTCAAGAAGAGAGATGAGCATCTCATCACTTACAAAAGTGGAGCCTCAAGGTCGCAGATTGATTTTCTTTTGGTTAGGAACACAGATAGAAAACTTTGTAAAAATTGTAAGGTGATCCCTGGAGATGCTGTAACGACACAACACAGGGTCCTAGTCCTTGATGTGTGTATTATGAGTAAAATCCAAAAACGTCGACAAGTAGTAACACCAAGGATTAGGTGGTGGCAATTAAAAGGTGAGAAGCAAGATATTTTCAAGCAAAATCTTTTGGATAAAGGAATTTGGGATTCTCAGGGAAGTGCTAACATCATATGGGAGGATATGGCTAAAAAGATACGGGAGGTTGCAAAAGTAGTTTTGGGAGAATCGAAAGGTTCTGGTCCGAGAGATAAGGAGTCTTGGTGGTGGAATAATAGTGTACAGGACAAAATCAAGTATAAGAAGAACTGTTTTAAAGCCATACATTTGTGTAACAATGAGGAAAATTGGGAGAGGTACCGTATGGCTAAGAAGGAAACTAAGAGAGCTGTGGGTGAAGCTCGTTCCAAAGCTTTTGAAGAATTTTATAAGAACCTTGAGACGAAGGAAGGAGAGCAAAATATTTATAAGATTGCCAAGAGTAGGGAAAGAAAATCAAGAGATCTAGAACAGGTAAGGTGTATTAAGGATGAAGAGGGAAGAATTTTAGTTACAGATGATGAAATTAAAAATAGATGGGAGACTTATTTTTCTAAACTTTTCAATGATGGAGAGGATTCATCTAGTAACTTGGAGGATTTAGTAACTGGTGAAGGAGAACAAAATTTGTCATTCTATCGAAAAATACGTGATAAGGAGGTAAAGGAAGCTCTTAAGAAAATGGCAAATGGTAGAGCTAACGGACCTGATTGTATATCTATCGAAGCGTGGAAATGTTTAGGTGAAGAAGGGGTGAGATGGTTAACTAAGTTATTTAATGTGATTTTACGGTCCAAGAAAATGCCTGATGAGTGGAGGAGAAGTACATTAATTCCTATTTATAAAAATAAAGGAGATATTCAGAATTGTACTAACTATAGAGGGATTAAACTCATGAGCCACACAATGAAATTGTGGGAGAAAGTAATTGAGCACAGGTTGAGATTGGAGACAAGTATTTCTGAGAATCAATTTGGTTTTATGCCAGGTAGATCAACTACAGAGGCGATTTATCTACTAAGGGGATTAATGGAAAAGTATCGTTGTAAAGATAAAGATCTACACATGGTTTTTATTGATTTGGAAAAAGCTTATGACCGTATACCAAGAGAAGTGCTTTGGAAAGCGTTGGAAAAAAAGGGAGTACGGATTGCTTATATTAAAGCCATACAAGATATGTATGAGGGGGTAAAAACTAGTATAAGAACGCCTAGTGGTCAAACAAAGGATTTTCCTATAAAGATTGGACTACATCAGGGATCATCTCTGAGTCCTTATTTGTTCAACTTGATTTTAAATGTTTTGACGGAACATATTCAAGAGGAAATCTCGAAATGTATGCTCTTTGCGGATGATATAGTTCTTATAGCAGAGACAAGAGAAGAGGTTAATTGCAAACTTGAGTTATGGAGGAGGACATTGGAGTCGAAAGGTTTTCGTCTGAGTAGAAGTAAGACGGAATATTTATATTGTAAATTTGGTAAAGGACTATTCGAAAATAATTTCGAAGTGAAATTGGGAGATCAAATTATACCTCAAGTGGAAAAGTTTAGATATTTGGGAGCCATTATTCAAAATGATGGCGAAATCAGTGGAGATATTTCACATAGAATTCAAGCTGGGTGGTTTAATTGGAGAAAAGCTAAAGGAGTTATTTGTGACCGTAGGGTGCCTAATAAACTTAAAGGAAAGTTTTATCGTACTGCTATCAGACCGGCAATGTTATATAGTAGTGAATGCTGGGCTCTAACGGGACAGCAAGAGCATAAAGTTGGAGTAGCAGAGATGAGAATGTTACGATGGATGTGCGGACATACACGTAAAGATAAAATTCGAAATGAGCACATACGTGAAAAAGTGAGGGTGGCACCTATTGAGGAAAAAATGGTAGAAAATCGGTTGAGATGGTTTGGGCATGTACAAAGAAGACCAAGGGAGGCACCAGTGAGAAGAGTGGAACATATAACTTTGAGTCCGATTAAGAGAGGTAGAGGAAGGCCTAAGAGAACACTCTTGGAAGTTGTTGAACGTGATCTCTTAATTAATAATATTTCTAAAAGCTTAATAAATGATAGAGCACAATGGCGTCTTGCAATCCATGTAGCCGACCCCACCTAGTGGGATAAAGGCTTGTTGTTGTTGTTGTTTGTTGCCACTGTGGGATGGGAATTTCTGAAGTTGTTGCTGGTTTGCTGCTCTGTTCCCAGATCCTACTTTTATTATTGAATTGTTCTTTTAACATTATGTTTCATGTAAATATTTTGTCGTTTATCTAATTATTATTATTATTATTATTATTATTTATCCTGGCTGGGTGTTCAACTGGTTATGAAATTATGCTTCCTTTGTTAACTTGAAATTAAAGCAAGCTGATATTATGATGTTATTGATAACCGACAGATACCTTTGTGTAATGATAAGAAAAGGATTGATTCAATCCCCCCCCCCCCCAGCCCCTCTCTTTTTCTGGGGTATGTAATAATAGATGCAAGAAAATAATGGAAAGGTGCTTTCCCCCCCTTGTATGAGCCACGTGGGATCCCCTCATTGAGGGTTGGAAGGAATAATTTCAAGACAGAACTCAATAATATATCTCAAATTTAAAAAAAAAAAATAAAGACTTACTTCAATCTACAGAGGATTCAAATTCAAAAAAGTGTTTTTGGAAAATTAAGACTTGGTTTCATCAACGTCTGAGCAACATCTGAATAAAATGAAGAAAAAAAACTATTTTGATTTCAATTAAAGGGACTACGTCTGTTTAAGCATAAAGTTTTGGATTTGATCTTCTGTAAATGTAGAAAATAATTTTTTTAAGGAGTTATTTTTAATTAAACTTGACAATATTGAAATTAGCACTGAATAATGAGTTGGATGTGTTTTATTATAAAAAAAAATAGTCAAATAAAAACCTTGATTCTTAAAACTGATTTTTTTCTTTTTATAAATCTCGAAACTGAAATTATCTTTCTAATCATGCCAACAGTTTCAGAGCATTGTTGAAAAGGTTTAAAAGCTTGTTAAATACTAAGATAAAAAATCGATGTAAATACGCAAGTACAAATTCCTTGGAAAAATCATCTCATCTCTTGAAAGTTTCATGCTTAGACAACTTATGCTTTCAAGAACATTTTGTCAAAAACACTTATCAAAAACCCAATAATATAAAAACAATGGGAAAATTATTATTTTGTTGCAAAATCTCAGCCATAGATTAAGGCCTAAAGCTGATTTAAAAGGCACATATCGTTTTCCTTTTGACAAAAGAAGGTACATTTGGAATATATTTTAGTGCATTTAGCGTCGATGATCTATGTCAAAGTCATAAAGCGTACCATGCAACAAGATAAAAGAGAGAGAGGCAGAATCATTGCATGATTTTTCAACTTTTACTCTCTTTTTACCAACTGTTTTGTTAATTTTTTAATAAACTATTTAATGTCTGATACTACTGACTAATTTGAAGTCGAGTTAGGTTAACTATGTACTCCATGGTTTATTAAACAATTTTAAATAAATAATATAATTTGTGTTTTTATTTTAGAATAGATATTTTTTTTATTGCTTATAAATATCTTTCTATTTGAGATAATCTCTTTTAAGATGTGGCCAGACACTAAATATAAATATATTTTTTAGCAAAGATTCAAATCTTTCATAGAACAGATTTTAGTTTTGATCCTTTTCATTTTCGTTATTTTTTAAAAGAAGAAATTATTTGATTAACACGTCTCGTTCAAATTATAATTCTCCACGTGAATAATAAATTGATTCATCCTTTTTGTCTCACTCCAAAATTGAGCAAGAAATTTTCATCCCAAAAAATAAATTGAGCAAGAAATATAAAGAAAAACGTAAAGACAATATCAAATCCTTGATTAAACACCCATGTTATATTCTGTTATATTGTATTTATAAATTTAAAAATGTAAACAATAAGCTACTCCAGGTGAGAATTTAATTCGTAATGCACTCAAAAAAAAAAAAAAACACCATAGTATAATGGTGTAACTAGTAGACCATTAAATTTTAAAATCCATAAAAATATACTTCATCCGTTTGATTATATTTGTCTTTTTATTGGATATAAATTAAGAAATATGATAAATATGTAAACATATGACATCACTAAATTTACTCCTCATTTAATATCTCTAAAATTATTACAATAATAAATAGTAAAATACTTCAATGATAAAATGAAAAACTGTTACTAAATATTGCTTTCAAATTTTGAAAAGACTTATTTTGTACGTTTTTTTCCCCTAAAAGGGTAAATATAATAAAATAAAGAGGGTTTACTGTATTACTAATAGAATATATTTCAATCTTTAACACACACACACGATAACATGATTTAATTTATCCTGTCCTCTCCAAGGGCATAAAATTATTGAAGGGACTGATTTGAAATTAAAGCGTACAAATTTGATGCTTGTGATCAAAATCTAAAATTCTAAATTCTTCTCCTGGATTCTCTTTGTCGCCATTAACAACATGCCCCTATTGCGAGATTCTCATTTGCTGCGTCAAAGTAATAATAGTAATAATAATAAAATACATTAACAAACCCATTTTCCCCTTAATTCTTTCATTTATTTGTTTGATTTACTTTTTAAATAGCATAGTACGTTCATTGATTAGTATAGTATTATCTATTATGGAATGATTTCGATAAGTACTATTTCAAAATTTACGGTTACCATTGTTCATTTATTTTAATAAGTATAAAGATTAAGACACTCTTATCTTGTGTCTTATTTCAAAGAATGAATGGGATTTAATTTTTATTTTATATCCTATCCCGTTAGGAATTATGATGGGATTGGGACGGCGAGAGTGAACAAAAATAATAACATCATTGATTAAAATTTTAAATCATATGACTTACCAAGTTTAAAATCAAAACAATACGAGTACATAAATCACAATATTTTAAAGTCAGTTATTAAATTATATCAATAACAACTAAAAGTATATAACTTAAAGTCAAATATATAGGAGATATAACACATTATGATAGCAATTACAAGTGATCTTTAAGCTATAAGAGTAATAATAATGGACAAGACAGACACAACATCAAATTATTATTCTTTTTTTTTTAGTTTAAATATGTTAAGCTAGTGATTTTTTTGAAAATAAAACAAGAATTATGATATAAATAAAAGTTATTAAATAAATAGATAAAAAATAAATTATATTAATGCAATTAATATATTGTAGAAAAATATTACCATGTACTTCCTATTTTGTATCATTAAAATTATCAATATAAAAAACTTTTAATTTTAAATAAGAATTACACGTATTAAAATTATAATTAATATAAGTATAAATTATATTAATATAATTAATATATTTCATGTATATTTTTTAAATAAAAAATAACACACACACACACACAATATTTAAGATGAGATATCCTAAGGGCAATTCTGTGTCTTGTCTTGTCCCAAACTCCTTTTTTGTCACCTCCCACAAAATTCCTTCTTGATTATTTTCAGAATCAAGGCAATTAGAATTGGTACAAGTTGAACATCTTTAATAAGGAGTAGGTTTTGTCGATAACAAAAAATATCTTTCTTGAGTTATTGAAAACAATGGGTAAATATCTCTTCATTAAATTGCTATATACACAAGACTTGTAATTATTGTTATTCATTTTAATGGATGGATCTAAATTAGTTTAGACACGGAAATAACATAATTCCGATTGAGGTGTTCAAGTACTATTGAGGTAAAGAAAAAACAATTATAAGAAATTTGATATGCAAGTAATAAGATAATTTTCTCCATTTAATATATTAAAAAAAGAGGGACATCAATCAAATAGAGAGAAAAATTGTAATATTGTAATAAATTTATTTAATAAAATTTTAATATTCTTCAAGTGTCTTGTATTGTGAGATGTCAAATTTCTCTCAAAAGCATCTTATAATTTGAGATGGTGTGAGTAGTTTATAGGCATACTCATCATTGAAGTGAATTCAATTTGGACCAAGAAACCCTTATTTGCTGTTAAGTGCAAAATAGGAACACATATTCTTAAAATAAATAATAAATTATTTAGAACTTCTTTCTATTTTTAAATATGCACCAATATTTTGCTATAAAGTAAAGTCCACATAATTTTTATTCAATTGAAAAGGCCTATGTAATTCTAACGAAGGTTGGCACAATTGAATTAACTAGGAGTATGTATGGGACGAGAGGGAATTGAGATGATCCTATCCTGTGTCCTAACCTCTCCTAAGACTGAGAATTTTTGGTAAAAAATTGAGGGTGAAAATGTAAGAGTTGACTTGTATTTCATAAATATTTGTGCTTAAATCTCATTGCAAATGTTAAGATCTTATTTTCGATAAATCCTTCTTCTAAAATTGTTAGAGCCTTGAGGCATGCATTACTTATGCAAACTATTGAGGTACAACTCACCTAAACATTCTATCATTAAGAAAAGAAAAGTATATAATTTTGAAGAATTATACCTATTTTTTCTAGCATGTTGAAATATAAAAAAAAATAAATGAATAAAATATTTAGTTACATGAAATCCAACAAAATAAGTGGAGAAAATTAAAAGAATAATAATAAAAAAATGATCCATCCAAGAGGAACACATTCAGCGCTTCAGCCTATGGATCCTCTGAAGTTTAAATTTATAAAATTTCCTGAAGTTCCCCTTTTTGGAAGGAAATAAAAGGATTTTTCATAATTTTTTTAAATAAAAAATCCAAAATAAGCAAACTTTAGGAAATTTAACGATACCTCAATTTATATTATATTATTTATCATATGTGAGTAGTATTTTTTTAATCCAATGATTTATGATTAATACTATTTTATATCATATGTCGATCATTGATAATGGATAATGTAATAAATATTTATCTACTTTATTTATAATTTAATATTTTTATTATACTAGAAAATATTTTTTAAAAACTTGTCATTAAGGATGGAACTATAATGCTTTTTTTTTTTTATACAAGAACTAGATGCTTTTCTAGTTCTTTAGTTTGAGTTTTAAAATATGTAATGATATTAAATAAAAATATTTTAAAATAGTGTGTCACAGCTAGTAAACAATAAAAGTCCCACAATAGAATAAAAAATTAATATAATGCATTCAAGCATATTAAATAATGAAAGAAAAAAAAATTAATTTTTGCATGTTTTTCTAGTCTTTATCAATTTTAAATTAGGTCTTTCTAGTTTATTTTATTTCAATCAAATTCTTATAATTTAATTTATTAAATATATTAATAGCGAAAGGTTAAAAATTATTTATAAGTGATTAACCTTTCTAAAATAAAAAAAAATTTAAAATTTATAAAAAAATTGACTCAACACTTTTAGCCATAAAAAATAAAATAAAAATTATTAAATTTATTTTAATACATTGTTTACATTTTTATTATTTTTTTAAAAAAATTATATATAAAAGTCATTTAAAAAACATGATCTAATTATATAAATTTATATTTACAACAATTATTTAAGTAATTTTAAAATTATAGAATGTGTCAATAAATATATAGAAGTTCTTAATTCATTTAAAAAAAGAATTCAAGAATTTTAAACCAGATTAATATATTTAGTATATTAAATTATAAGAGCTTGTTTAAAGGTATCTAAAGTTAATTTTTTAAAAAATAAATTCAAAACATACAGAAAAGAATTAGACAAATGAAAGTCTTAAGATAATAAATTAATGATAATTAAGTCCTCGATAAAATTTTCAACAAAATAATTATATATATATATATATATATTAATTTAAATAATTATAAATTTATTTTTATATTCAAAATTTAAATATCATATTTATAATTAAAAATTTTAAATTCATAATTATTTAAATTAATATTTATAATTATTTTTTTAAATAAATTTATTAAAAGATTTAACTATTATTAATTTATTCTTCTGAATTTAACTGTGGTTCTTCGGGGAGAATATAAGCGGAAACAAATAATGAAAATAAAAGGGGAGACGCATTGGTGGCTATAAAAAGCTTTTACTCGCCATCTCCTTCTTTCCCCTGCTCTGCTCTTCTCACTGTAAAACAAAGCTCAACACAATGGACACCACGTCCAGGACCATGAGAAGACAAGAAGATGACGACGACGACGACGATGAAGAGTGCAACACCACCAGGAAGCACTCACGCAACAGGTTTCGGTTTCGGCCTCCTTTCTATTTGTGTGTCGCCGAGCCTGATTCTAGTTGGCAAGCCGGAACCTCCGCACACGGCGGCGCCTCCACTGATCTCCGCCGCCGATTCCTGATTCATCCGGAGAACTGGTACATCTCTCTCTCTCTCTCCCTCCCCTTTCTCTCCCGCCGACAAATCGCTCTCTATAACTTCCCAAAACCGTTCCCTTTAATTTAGACAGATCAAGTGGATCTCTTTCCTTAATTTAGTTTTTATACTGAGTGAAGTGAATGACAGATTCATCATAAATTTTTCATTTTAAAAGATTTTGGTCCACTTTTCTGCTTGATTTTCCTTTTGTGGAAAACTAACTTTCTTTAAAAAAGAAAGAACGAAACAAAGAAAATGTTTGATTTTATAACTATAGATGATTTCAATACTCACATCTCACTCCACACTTGTAGTTATTACTTACACCAATGGCTACTGTATATGATTTATTTTTTAAAGAGCATGCATGTTACTTATTATACAACGTAAATGGTAATTTTACCATGTTTATTTTTCTATTTTCTAATAAACATTCTTTTATTAATTCAAATAGCTTCTATATTTGTCGCGACATTGATATTTGATGATTTCAACATGTTAGCGGAACAGCTCTAACATTTGGAGAGTTCACAGTTCATCTCAAGAGTCCAGAAAAGTTGAAATAAAAAAATGTATTTTTTAATTTTTCAACTTACAATTCTAATTATGGTTTGATGAATGATTTATAATTAATTATTATTGTTTATTGTTTAGAATATGATCACACGAAACTTATTTATAGCCTCAATAAACTCGTGTTTTTAGAAATTTGTGATCTCCCCATTTTCTTGCTAGTTGTTACTTCCTCTTCAAAAAAATCCAACTGCAGACTGAAATAATATTCTTAAATAATTAATTAATGATGGGCAAAATAAATGTGAGAAGGTTACTGAACAGGATATGATAGACGACATGATAAGATCGAATGGACTTGCATACACGTGTTTGGCCTCGTTGGATTATTAACTCGTCATATCTGCCGTGTTTTTTTTTTTTTTTAATTTTAACCAAATCAGAATTTGAAAGCCGGTTCCACACTAAATGTTAAGAAACTCAATATCCTTCAAGCAAGAAATTGCATTTAAGTTCTGTGGATGCAAAATTTGACAAAATTTTGCAAAAGGGAGTGAATTATTTTCGTGTAATTAATTAATTATTTAACTGGGTAAGTGTTCAATATGTGAGTTCTTATATACATTTTGAAAATAATTTCTCCTAAATGCAATATAATTGATGATATACTGGTATATCTTCGATTTATTAATTATTATTAGCATTGTAACGAGTTTTCAAAATTATGACTCCGTTGGCAATGTTATTTGGCTATTGATTTAATACAACTTAGGCAGCTGCTATGTATATTTATACAAAATTTTAAAAATTATTTGTGAAGAATGAAGTTTGAAATGAATTTTATATTTTATGTTGTACATTTTTTTAAAAAAGATAACCAATTATTGTTAGTTTTCTCGATGAGTCATGAGACATAATTTATATTGAAAAATTTATTAATCATAATTCATTTTAAATATAAAATTTTTTATTATTTTTTTAAAAAATTCATTATTCTTTAAGAAGATTACTATATTTTTTTCGAAATTATGCTTTAAGCAATTTCAAATATCCTTTAAGAAAACATTAGTATTAATGTTTTAAAATAGAATGTTAAGTGAATAATAAACTTTGTATTAATTATAGATTTATTATTTTTAACATAATTTTTTTATTTTGTATTTTTTAAAGGTGTATATATATATATATTTTTTGGTGACAAGTAACTTATCTTTGTTATAATTAAAAATAAAAAATCTAAGCCTCTTTTGTTTTTTGGCAATAAAAGAACTAAGATTAGACTCTATATATTAGCCCAAAATTAAGGCCTAAGGGCCTTTCGATAGCCCAAATGTATGTTATGTTAGCCTTGAATCTATCAGATCAGAATAACCGCAGCCAGTCTGTAACAGTGATTTGGCGCCAACTAGTTTCCTTGTTTCTCATTCACAAAATCACACCTCCCTGAAGTTTATTCATCAAAACAATAAAAGCTGTGAAGTTTCGAAGGCTCTTCCAAGCTCTTTTTTCTCAGAAATGGTGGCAATTTTGTCAAAAAATTTGCAGGTGGTACGTCGTGTGGAAGCATTTCATTTTGTTATGGGCCGTCTACTCTTCGTTCTTCACTCCTTTGGAGTTTGGATTCTTCAGAGGATTGCCGGAGGAAATCTTCTTGCTCGACATTGCTGGCCAGTTCGCTTTCCTCATTGACATCGTCGTCCGATTCTTCGTCGCCTATCGTGACATCCACTCCTATTGCATGATCTATGATCACACTCAAATTGCTACGAGGTGCCCTTTATATTCTTCCAATTCTAATTTTGTCTTTCAATAATTTTTTCCCGAATTATTTTGTTGATACTTTTATTGGCGATGTCAATTGTAGGTACCTGAAGTCTCGGTTCACAGTTGATTTTCTTAGCTGTTTTCCGTGGGATTATATTTACAAGGTATTTATTTATTTGTTTATCTATACGACGATCAGGCTACAAGCCAACCTCTGTTCTGGTTTTGGTTTTGGTTTTAGTTTTAGTTTTAATTTGCTCTAATAAAGAATTTTACTTGAAAGTTGAAAGTACGCAACGGGGGCATAGGACCTTACAGTTTTCATATACTATATTGATGATTTTTGACAAATTATATATTGATGATTGATGACTTGTAAAAAAATATTTTCATCTATGAATAATTGAGAATAAGTTAAAAAGTAAGATGACATTTTTTTTTTGTATATTATATGTTATTTATATTAAAATGGAAATTTCTAAAAAAATTAGACAGGAATTCAATTATTTATGATAATTTTGATAACATGAATGATTTCTGATATATATTATTTCTTTGATTGAATCTCTTGAATGAGTGCTTATAACAACTGACGCACCATTTTTTTTTTTGTTTTTTTGCCAACACCATAATTTAATTTCCTGAGCACGGATTTATTAGGTCCATTTGATGTATGTTGTTGATTCTCTTGAGTAGTCCATTTGCAACTTTTCTTTCTTTCTGTTTGAGGTGACATAAGTTTACTTCTCTGGTCAGGCTACTGGGAGGAAAGAAGCCATCAGGTATTTTTTATGGATTAGGCTATGTCGAGCCTGTAGAGTGACTGAGTACTTTGAGAGGCTGGAGAAAGATATTAGGATCAACTACCTCTTTACCAGGATTGCAAAACTTCTTGTTGTTGAACTTTATTGCACCCACACAGCTGCCTGTATCTTCTACTATCTTGCTACCACTTTGCCGCCATCAAATGAAGGTTATACATGGATAGGCAGCTTAAAGATGGGTGATTATAGCTATTCAGACTTTAGACATATCAATCTTTGGAAGCGTTATGTGACATCACTCTACTTTGCAATTGTTACCATGGCAACTGTTGGTAAGATTCTTGCGTTTAACTAAATTGTAGAAATCATTACAGTAAACCAATTCTCTCTTTCTCTGGTTTACTTTCTTTCCTGCTTCGGTGGGTTATTTTTAAGCACGTTGTTGAGTGTCTGACATGTTTTTTATATAAATTAGCAATGTCATGGTTGGTTGTCCTTGTTACTGGATTGAACCATTTTAAATGCAGCGTTACGTTTCAGGAACTGATTTGATTTCTATTATTCTCACGTATGACTAAGGATTTTTGGGGGGGAAAAAATGAAAAGACTGTTCAAAACTAATAGCTTACTTTCTGTCATTCTTTTGAGTTTCTTCACATATGATAGATTAGCTAAAAGGCATAGTTGTGGCAATGCATGTTCAAATTTTGAGTTTCTTCACATATGATAGATTAGCTAAAAGGAATTTGAATTCATTTTTATATGTGAGGTGTAGCTAAAATGTTGTTGACAGCTGTTCTTCAAAGTAGCTGATTTGTAAATGAGAAATTTGTTTTATGGCATTTTCTGCAAATTCTTCAACTTCCAGAGATCACAAGATTAAAAAAATTCTTAAGTTATGAAATTTCTACACATGAATGGTTTGCTGCAATTGAAATTTATGCTTCAAAATATGTAATTTTTTTTTTTGGAGCAGTGATTTTAAATTATTATTTTTTCAATCTTAATAGAGATTCCCTTTCATTTCACGGACCACAATATTTGGGACAGCCAGGTAGTACTGCATCTGCAATGATGTTTGTGTTGATTTCAGTCGTTTAATTGAATCTGGCCAATTGCTTCTGCTTCCTTCTCTTTAGACGATTCAATCTAAAGTCTAAAGTCTAAACTCTAAACTGCTAAGCCTTTCTACTATGAAATGATGATAGTAATGCATTCATTTTTCCAAGTTTGTACTTATAAGTCCATTTGGAATTCAGTAACGTTGTGTTTGGATTAATGAGAATTTGGTTGGATTTCGACCACATCTTTCATCTAGATACATAAAAAATTATGAATTTGGATTTGGTTCAAATCCAAATTCCATGTCAAAGTATAATTCTTTTATAATTTCAAATTCTTTCTATGCTCTAATCATTTGAAATTTTAATCACTTCAAACTTCTTTTTCTTTTCACATTTTCACTATTGGTAAATCTTCAATCATGTTGTTTTAACTGTGTTCTGATACATTGTTTTATTATTCTGCAGGCTATGGAGACATTCATGCAGTTAATGTCAGGGAAATGATATTTGTCATGATTTATGTCTCCTTTGATATGATTCTTGGTGCTTACCTTCTTGGTAATATGACAGCATTGATTGTGAGAGGATCAAAAACAGAGAGGTTTAGGGATAAAATGACTGATATTATTAAGTACATGAATAAAAACAATTTGGACAAGGAGATAACTAAAAAAATAAAAGGCCATTTACGCTTACAGTATCATCGCAGTTACACTGAGGCTGCTGTGCTTCAGGATATTCCAGCCTCTATTCGTGCAAAGGTTTTTGACAGTGAAATTTGCTGCAATTATTTTGATGTTGCTTGCTTGTCATATGTTCCTTTTTGTTTGAGCTTATCCCTAGTGGTATTTCCTGAAAAAATTATTGATGGTAGAAATGGTTTCAGAATTTCAAAACATATTTTTTTGGTAAATTGCTCTCCCTTTCCCTTGGGAGATGCTCAAATCATACAACCCTCCGCATCATTATGAAAATATACAAAAAGCCCCTGAAGATAAAATGTTAAAATATCCTCAAGAATAATATTGATTTCTTTTATTAAAATACTTTATTGTTATTAATTTTTTGTTGAACCTTATAAATTTTAACTTATTCTAAATTTAGAAAATTGCAAATGGCTATTTTAATATTGGTCAAAACATATTTGATACTTGTTATATCATCCAAATAATAAATATAAGAGTATTTTGGTCAAAGTAGTTGTAATTTTAGCTCATCTTTGCTATAGGGGGTCAATTGCAGTTCATGTTTTGATTTCAAGAAAGAGACCTATAAATTTTCAAAATAGAGGGGAGGGCCATGGAATTTAAACATCTTTCAAGAAGGGAGTGTAATTTACTCATTCTTTCACGTATCAGTCAAAATTTTTCCAGTCCCTTGTCTTCTCTCAAGAGGTAACGGTGTTTCTATTTTTCAAGGCCTTGTAACCTAAGTGTAGAACTACTGGTGTTTTTTATACTCAATTTTGAAACAAGAAATGGTATGATGAGCCGTGTAACTTCTGTAAGATTATAATGCATATAATCTAAGATTATGGCACAGAATCAAATTATGTTTAATATAAAGGAAGAGAAAACCAAATCAACCATTGATTTGTCTAGATAATGAGATGCCATTTTTGTTTACCTGTGACCTGATAAATTTTTACTATTTATGCTTTGTTTGCAGATTTCAGTGAATTTGTATGAGCGATTTATGCAAGAAGTTTCTCTTTTCAAGGGATGCTCCTTGGGGTTCATTAAGCAAATTGTAAGAAATTATTTAAACATTGTCTTGAATCAGAATTGTTAGCTTTTGAAGTTTACATTTGTCTGTTTACACCTACCAAATCCTACATGTGTGTGTGTGTGTGTGTTTCTTTGAGTTCCATTGTTGAACGTTTGACTCACTAAATGCAATTCTCAAAAATTAAGGAATTTACTCTAGTGACAAGCAACTTCTTAATTACCTGATATCATATATGATGGCAATTAGTTTCTGGTCACTAAGTCATCGGAAAGCAGCATGAGCTAGTGAGGTTTCTGAAAATATGGTGGCTTAGGGCACCTATAAAATATGCTTTTTGACCCAAAGCTTCCTAACAAGGCATTTAAACCAGATTAATGTTTGTTTTAAACAGAATGTCATCTTTTTTTTTTATCTCATCTCAGTTTAATCCTCACATAGTGCAACCATTATTTAATATATCATACTAGGTTACACAGAACAGAAACAGTATAGAAGCTTGCCCTTTTTTTAGCAGAAATTTCTAATTGCAATTCTGGTTAGGCAATCAGAGTCCATGAAGAGTTTTTCGTTCCAGGAGAAGTGATTATGGAGCAAGGAAATGTAGCCAATCAACTTTACCTTGTATGTGATGGCAAGCTGGTACGAATTTCTTGTTACTCATTTCTATATTTATCTGATTGTTTTTTTTCATTTATTTGCAAAAGTGCACTTTATAGTTACTCTTTCTTTTTTTGACTGAAACTTTATAGTCACTCTCATGTTCACTTGTTCCAGTGGCTTGTAATGATTCTTGCGTTGTAACATATTTCTGCTTGATTTCTGAATGATAGATACTGGATAGGAAAGATATTTAGCCTACAGTTGTCAAAAGTTTGAAGGCTATGGAAAACACCTTCAAACCCTAAGTTCACTTATTTTGTACCTTGTGTATTTTTGTTAAAAACAATGGTCTTTTCCAGTGTCTACAGTTTGGACAAGGCATTGATAATTTACAGCTGGAGAGAAACATCAGAACTACCCTTCCTGTGCAGCTTTAACTGCACCTGGCTCAAAAGAGAATGCTGTAGAGGATGAAAAACACACCAGAATATTGTACTAAACAGAGACATTTGAGTAAAAGAGTTTTGATAAATGTTCAATCTGCAACTTTTTGGATATAACGATAATTAAATCATTTATTTCACACATGCATGTATTGAAATGTTCGATCAGAACAAGGAAGTTGTGTTAAATCAAGGCATAAAAAAATAAATCTTAATGCTGATTGCTCAATTATTTATCTTTTGACCATTTTGCTTCTTTATTAGGGAAATCAGTGTACAAGTGCCACCCCAGGTAGCAATTTGTATTATTTCTTAATTGTAAGTTGGACCTGACAGAATTCCATCTTTATAGGATGAGATAAGGACAGATGATGTTGATAAAGAAGTGCCAATAAGGCTTTTGCAAGCATACTGTTTCTTTGGCGAGGTTTCTTTTCTTTGTGATATACCTCAACCTTCAACCATACGAGCCCGTGAATTTTGCAAGGTTTTGCGACTTGATAAGCATTCCTTTACTGAAACATTGAAGGTATATTTTGCAGATGGCCGAGTTATCTTGAACAATCTCCTTGAGGTATGTTTACTGTGGAAAATTGTTTTTTTATTTTTCCTCTCCATTTCATATTTTTGTTGGGATCTAGAAGATGTCTATGCTGTGGTACTGGGGATTTTTATTCTATCTGTGGTTTCACTAGCCTAGGAAACATCATCACCTAGTTTTCACTGCATCAAAAATGATTAGCATGATGTTGGAGTCATGATTTGACTTCAAATATCTGGCAATTACTCCCACTCAATACTTGTGGTGCCTTCCTCTCTCTTCTTGCCTCTTTCTCTGTTGTTCTTTTCTTGACTTCTAGAAAAATATCCACTGAACTCATTTGGATTGGCACCTTTCCTCATTTTTCTGAACTCCTGAACTACTTCAACTTTGGCGTGTACATAATTTTTATTAAATATTATATGCTTGATGTATATGGAATTGTTGTGGTAATTATGTTTATGGAAATATTGACAATCGTTTGAGTTAGTATGTGATGGGTATCTAAGTGGGATGGGAAACCCTACCCAAAAAGCTAGCTGTTGAAGTGGAAGAACCAACCCATTTATATACCCCATTGAGCATTTCATACTACTAAGTCTCTATCAATTGGCCCCCCATGGAAATCCGACATCCCAATGACTGCACTCCACAGCATTTAACTCGGTCTCTTTCCGGTCAAAACCCTCCATGGGTAGCCCTTTTTGGAACTGCTGACAACGAGGTTCTGATACCAATTAATAGGTATTTAAGTGGATGGGAACCCTACGCCAAAATTAGCTGTTAAAGTGGGAGAACCAACTCATTTGTATACCCCATTGAGCATCCCGTACTACTCAATGTGGGACTTGGTATCTCGTACTACTAAGTCTCCATCAGTATGAAAATTGTTTTTAGTTGGAGTTAACTTTTTCATATATATTTGTTGTTGTATTTGTGGATTGCTGACATTTTGAATAATATTAATATATTTATATCCAAACCTTACTTTGATATTGAAATGCATAATTTGTGCACTTTAGACCAATATCAAGTATGACAATAATCACGATGACTTTTGTTATTGGGGGAAAATTAATGCTTGTCTTCAGCAGTTTGTAGATAATTATTTCAATTCCAATTTCAATATACTTATGTTTGGTGATAATGTGGTACTATAAGTTTTGATATTATATGTTTTACGGAAAATATCAATATGGAAGTCCTTTTACTGAAAGAATTCCATTATCTAAATTTTATACGGCTGGCTTCGGATCTTTCCTTGGCATTTCCATATTTCATGGTTCTTCTTGACTAACAGGAAAAAGACTCTGATCTTCAGCGGAAGCTCCTGCAATCGAACTTCTTCTTGACTGTTGAAAACCATGAAACAGAGATGGTTATGAGAATGAATTGTGCTGCATATGAAGGGAACATTCACTTTTTGAAACGTTTGATTGAATCAGGAGTAGATCCCAATAAGACTGATTATGATGATAGATCACCCTTGGTATGAACTTTCTGTATCCAACCTATTGTTCCATGATTTTATGATAATGAAACCTCCTGTGCTGTCACTTTTTTCATTGTACATTTAAAACTGCCTTGTACTTTCTCTCCATGGTAAGAGTGGGTGAAGCTTGTCCTTGAAATGTCAACAACGGTAACTTGTGGGAGGTAATGAGCTCCCAAATAGATACCAGTCTAAGTTTCACAAGCCAACGCTAGGTCTACCGTTTTGGATTCGGATTCTCTTCATGCTTACTTTTGTAATAAAAAAAATAAGTGGTAAATGGAGAAGAGAAAGAGAGATTAATAATAGGGAAATCTTATGGTCAAATAAGCAGTTGATAGAGTATGCAGGTAGAGGATAACATTGTATTAACTTGTTTTTTGGTTTCTTGTTTCAGCTTATTGCTGCATCGCAAGGACATGTAGAAATTGTTCGCTTTCTTGTTGAACGTGGAATAAAAACCAATTTCTCTGGTTAGCTTTTGAACTCACCTCTAGCTTTTATCGAGTCATTACAGGCAAATTATTTTTGGGTATTGAAAATGCCATTGCGAAGCATAACGTTACATTTTTATCAACCATTTGCCATAGATAAATTTGGGAATTCCCCCTTGTTTGAAGCCATCAAGAATGGACATGAAGAAGTAGCTTCTTTACTTGTGGATGTGGGGGCAACCCTTACCGTAGATCATCCTGGGAATTTTCTCTGCATGACTGTTGCAAAGAAGGAGTTGAGCCTTCTAAGACGGGTCTTGGATTATGGTATTAATCCAAATGCTAGAAATTATGATCAGCGTACACCTCTTCACATAGCTGCCTCTGAAGGTTTGTGCAAAATGGCTGAGTTGCTTCTAGAAGCAGGAGCAAGTGTTTTATCAAAGGACAGGTACGATTTAAACATCAAATAATTACTCTGTTGGACAACCACTTTGTCTTTCACACCTTCTGAGATTCTAATGTAAAGTTAGATGATTGTTGACATGGGGAGCTCCTATGATGATATCTCTGTGACTCTGTCTTGTTTATTGAGTTGCATAGTAATTCCTTGACTACTTCCTACTTGCAGATGGGGAAATACCCCGCTTGATGAAGCTCGTATGGGTGGAAATAAGAATATAATCAAAATGCTCGAAGTTGCAAAAGTTACTCAATTGGCTCTATTATCCCATGGTATACAAGAACCTCGAGGTATGATTACCTTTCTCAAGCAAATAATACCTTCTTGGATGATTTTTTTCAGAAGGTGCACAGTCAGGCATTTTGCTTGGGACGTATACCGTGTACCTTCAATGTAGAGGGCATGAACTTACTTTTGAATTGCAATTAGAACTCATTCTGGACATGGACATGATGTCTAGAATGTTAGAAGCCTTGGATTCTCAAACACTATACTCTCATGTTCAAATATGATATTACGATAAACATGGGCGTTCAAGATATTATGAGTATTTTATGTTCGTAAGTTGAAGCACTGGATTACCAAAATTGGAAAGAAATGACTTAGCCGTCGTCATGGCCTGAAGTGAATGAGAATTTATGCCGTCACTTCCAGGCAAGTGGAACACCTATCACTAGACTAATGGTATTATTACAATGGAATTTCTCCCCTATAAATGTATTAGGTCTTGTTAACCGGATTATGTCCTTTTTTCCCATCAAAGTAAAGAAATTCTCTCTCTTTTTTAAGTTACATTATGCATTCTAATAAATAATATAATTCCATCTGCATTTGCAGCAAAAGTACTATTACTGTCAACAGATGAAATTCCAAGAAAGAAATGCACCGTATTTCCTTTCCATCCATGGGATCAAAAATCGGATAAAAGAGAGGGAGTTGTCTTGTGGGTTCCAAAAACCATTGAAGAACTTGTGCAGGTGGCAATGAAACATCTCAATTCTTCAAGTAGTTCCTCTATTTTATCAGAACATGGGGGTAAAATTCTTGATGTAGACATGATTAGCAATGACGAGAAGCTATTTCTGGTGAGTGAAGCGCAATCAAAGAGTGCATGAATTGATCAAAAAAGTTGGAGTCACCACGGGGCACAGGAGAAGGGAATATGCAGTTACAACTAGCTTGTTCCAATATGCTTTTCCCTCCGCCCCACAATGCAAAATCCTGGAGAAAACACGGGCGGCGAGGGAGAATATTGGTAAGGTCTCAACAGTTAATCAATGTGCATTATATTTGTATGCCATGTTGGAAACTTCGATTGTTATTGAAAATACATGTGAAGTGAACCTCCTTAACATTCAACAACAGGTATAGTATCTCAACAGATCTTAAGGCTCATTTTACTGTTTCAAATTCAATTCTCTAACTAAAAGCATGCCTGAAAAGCATTGATGCACGCACTGTCCTAAACCTAGACAGACTGAATTTTGACAATTGAGATATTGTATTTTCTCTTACTCTCTTGTCAATGATTTCGAGACTTGAGTATGTAGTTGTGTTAAATATTTATTGAAAAAATTTTGCTATCAATGTGGTCCTACTTGGCTCGACTCATGAATAATGTGTAATTATATTAAAAAAATGATTTATTATTCATTGATGTGATGTTAATATAAAATTAAAAAATCAAATTAAAAAAAAAGTTTGGATAAGGGTGAAGAAAAAATTATGCATGCTGACAGTTGAAAAATTTTGGCACCTTCAATTTGTGTTAACCATCTCATCCGGGAGGTCGGTACATTTATCTGCTTAAAATTTGCGCGTTTTATTCATTCCAGCCTCCGAGTCGTACCTAGAAGAGCTGGTACTTCACCATCGGAGGTTTCCCTTCTACTTTATTTTATTATTATTATTATTATTATTTGCTCCTTTCTTGTATCAAAGGGAGGGAAAATTGACAGATGAGTCAAGACCAAGCTCTGAAAATTCAGTAATATCATTAATGTTTCAACAAAACAGTAGACATGAGTACTTTTTTGAATGCTCCTCCCTCTTGTTACCAAAAAAAAACAGCACGCGCGCACTAAACTTGGTTTTAAATTTTTAACCAAGTTCTTCAAGTAAAATGACAAGTACAAGAACTTTAAGAAAGAACAAATGATAGGTGCAGAAATTTACACTCACATGAAGGAACACCATTGCCTTCCCTATCACTCAAAGCATATTAAATGACTTCAGTCTGGAATCTTGGATGAGCTGTCTTTTTACTGGGCAGAGGAGATACCTACCCTAAATGGGTACCAGTTAACCTTGGATGGATTAGACTCGGTTCTGTAGATTCAAATAAATTTGCTATTTGTGGCGTGTCAGTTGGGATTATCAGGAAAATTAAAAGGGGGGAAAAAGATTCACGAAATTTCCAGCCTATCATCCAATTATAGCTACAGAATTTTTGGGTAACGTGGAGGGTCTAAATCTCTGCTGGGAAGAAAATATTATATGTCAATGTTCGTTGTAATTCTAGAGAAGCAATTTAACCCATACGGAGCACTTGTGACCCGAAACAATCTATGATCGATACCATCAAAAGGATAATAGATCTATTCATATGCAATTGGCAAGTTTCTGTTGATCATACTTTCAAAAAAGTTAATCAAACGCATGGACTGACTTGCACATCAAGCAGACAACAATAGTTTTGATGCCAAAATTTTTAATGAACCGCCCAATGGGTGTAGGCCTTTTCTTTATTTGAATACTTATTAATCCATTTGTGATCACATCACTTTGACCATGGCCTTGTCTATTAAAAAAGAGCAAATGATGTGTTACGAGGAAGTAAAAGAAATTATTCAGATCTATTATGTTAAAGAATGAAGAGAAATAGAAACAAAAATAATGTTGTAGATATGATGGGAGGGTTGAAAGAGATAGAGTAGATGATAGGATGTGATAACCCGGTTCGCAAGCAATGGAGAACTCAATGTTGGAAAGTCTTGAAGACAAAGAGAGGCTCCAATATTTGGTGACCTGAAAAAGAGACAAGTTTTGGACTTTGGAGCTTCATGACAATTTACACTTTCCAGGGCTTTGTGGGATTGAAAGAAGGTGACAGAATGAGGGTGTGGGGAACGCAGTCTGGTTCAAGATCCAGCCATGTACGTATTCACTGAGATGGCTTCTCGGACCAGGCTTCGTTCCCCTCACTTCCTCCTCTCTCGCTCTTAATCAAAAGCTGGAGTACAGAATCACACATGAATTGAGGTTAGAGTAAGTTGTTTTATACTTCAATTATTGAATTTATCCTGTCTCTCTTGTTGTGGAGTACAATCACGAAATCATCACCCGGGAATTCTCCAATATTCCTTAACAAAGGTACGTGTTTCTATGTTTGAAGATGATATTTTATGCTCGATGCCTTCTAGTGAGGGCAACTTTTTCATTAAATTTACCTACAAAGCTATTGAAAGTGATGGGAACAACACTCGTTCTGAGATTTGTTCAAGAATTTTACAATGGCTTACCTATGAGAAAATTGAGTTTTTTTTCTTCGGAAAGTTGCATGGGATCATCTTCAAGCCAATTCTGTCTATGACGAAGGATCTGGAGTTTGCCAAAGGATTTGTCCCTTTGATGCCACTCTTTTGATTTCTCTATACATATCTTACATGTTTGTAGCAAAGCACGGGAAGTAAGGACAAAATTACTTGAGCATTCAAAGTTAAATATTTTATTTTCTCTTCTCTTCCAGAATTGGATGCTTTGAAACGCAAAGAATGATGTGCATCAAGAAAATTGAATGCTAGAAGAATTATTTGGCAGAAACTATTTGTTTATGCTTGTTAGAATATCTGGAAAGCAAAGTGTATGGATCTCTATTCTTATTAGTTTACTCCTAAGAAAATAATTCAAAACATTACCAATAACCTCAATTTTCAATTGAAAATGAATTCTTTAATTTTGGATCTTGAAAAATCACAAGCCCGACAATGCCTATTTGAAGTAAGATGGATTAAACTAGAGACTGATAAGTCATCGAACTTCAATGATAAAGGCATCACCTATGAAAATAAAAGAGAATAAATAAAAGATTTTTTTAAATATCTCCAGTATTATAACAAAATTCTTTGAAATCCTTGATATTATTTTGATGGAATTGCAAGTTCTATAAAGTTTATGTTTACATTGACCTTTTAGAGGCCCTTGTGTTTTTTCAAAATGAGTTCTCCCAAAATCATCTCTTCCAGAATACAATCAAAAAGAGTAAAAATCTTGTTATGTAGAATTAGACATTTATTTTTGATCATGCTTGTAGAAAAACAAATAAATGTATCAATTAATTTGCTCATCATATATTATTGGAAGCTTTTGATTTTAAAATTTTTTGCAATCCACATGGAGGGGGTAAAAACTTATTAAAGTCTCATATGATTTGATTTTGTTTTTTTTTTCTTTTATGATTTTTTGTCGTGGTCTTCAATTAAAAAAAACCATCCTCATATGATATTACTGATAAATGGTAATACTATGCTGTGAACTAGAGGGAGCATTTAGAACAAATTGCTTCTATTTTATGAAAAACATGGCTACTCCCTTTTATCTTGAATATAAGATTTAATTAACTAATTTATAAAGATTAAAGAAATTGGTTAAGTTAAGTTATTTTTCATCAATATATAAAAAATATTTATCACTTTTTTAAAAATACTTTTCTTATAATGAAGGTATTAATTGTTTTGGCCAAAAAAAAAAAGAAGGTATTAAATGTAGGAGACAAAACCTGTGAAATTAACGAGGATAATGTGGGGAAAGTAATAAAATGACGGAGATGATAAAGATTGAGATTTTACATAAAACAGAAGATCAAATTCAATTTGCAAAGATCAAAATATCTAGTTAATTAATATTCATTAGTAATAAATTTGTTAAAACTCCAATCTGACATTGGCCTCCTTGGATTTGAGTTCTAAAATATATATTCCTCTTATCCTATTAAGTATTAACCACAAAAAAAGTAGTACTGGAAGAAGGAGTAACCTTCAAGAACATGTAGTACACAGAAACCTTTTTTTTTTTTTTGGTTTAAATCAAAAGCTGAGTTATAAAAATGAAGAAATTAAATAGTTGAACATATTCAACTGTTATAATTTATAATTATATATTGTTCATAACTTTTAACTATATTTATAAATTTATAAATACTTCCTCCTATCCAGATTTATAAGATATTTTTTGAATAATTTTGTGTCCCAATTAATTATTTCCCATTAATTTATAAAACATAACTATATTAACAAACAAAAAAAGGTTACTAGTACTAAATTTTCGATCGGGGAGTGACTATTTTCTTTGTTCGACAATGAGGCTGATCTCTTAATTAAGCATCTTTATAGGTCATTTTTCGTTCTAGATTTTTCCCTACTTTTGCTCTCACACAAGTTGTTCTAAACTTCGGGGACAAGTATTGTATTTATCTTCAAACGCGTCGATCGCGCTAAAATAGTGATACAGAGTTAAACTACCTGGTCTACCATTGGGGAAGCAAGGAAGATGGCGCTTCAGTGGATGATTCTGACCTATGTGGTAGCTGCAGAGGCGGCCATTGCTGTTTTGCTCACTCTTCCCTCACCCAAATTCCTCAAGAACCGCTTTGTCTATTTAATTTCCCTCATTCTTCAACCCGCTCTCTTCATTGTTCCCTTCTCTGCCTTTCAGCTTCTCGGTATTCATTTCTCTATCTTCCTTCTTCATTATGGGGATTGGGTATTTCAATTTACTTGTTGTAGGGTTTTCGTGTGTGTGTGTGTGTTTCCACGCGGTTTCTGCACTTTGGGAAATTGGATTTTTCTGGTTGGGTTTTCTCAAGTATTTCGCCTGAATGAGGAAGATATGTGGTTAATTACAGATATCTACTGGAAGAATGAGCATCGATTGATGTGTACTTCGGAGGTCTGTACTGCTGCTGAGAGAGACCGATATGAGAAATCTGTATGTATCTTTCATATTCATTTATTTTCTTTTCGCCCTTTCTTCCAAATTTGAGTTGAAGCTGAGATAATTGATTGGGTTGTCTATATTTTTGCCTGGTGATTTTCATCTCTCTCCATAATAAATTGCACTTCTTAAGCCATGCATGCCGAAAGTGGTTTGGTTTGGTGGTTCATAGTTCTTTGCGTAGTTAATTGATGGTGATTTGGTGGACGATGCTGGTGATGGAGATAAATAAGCAAAGCAACTAAGTATGGATTTGGGTGCCGGCCAACATGGATTAATTCGTTTGCAACTTGTCTTTTCCATTGAGGGATGAAAGATCTTAAGATCGATGCTATCTTACCGTGGATGTAGTATGTAAATTCCTGATTGCCTTTCAGCAGTGTTCATTGGGGTTTAAACCTATGAACCTTGAACTAGTGCCAATTACACCGAGCCTTGTAGATTCTCTTTTGCCATAATTTTTTTGGGTTGCACATTCTCTTTCTTCTAAAAAAATTAGAGCTGTATATCTGCAGAGCACTTTTAAATGCAACTCATGCTGCTCATCATTTTCAGATGCATATGTTCTCAGTTTCCTCCCCTTTTTTATTTGAAGCTTTTATCTCAACCGCTAATATAAAAAATAAAAAAAAAACAAAGAAAAGGAAAGAAAGAAAGTGACACGTTTTATGTCCAATTTTCATTGCCCCGGTTGGTTGACTTTCTCTTGTTTGTTGAGTTCACTTTCCTGAAATCATTTGCCGACTACAATCTAAAGCATATTTAGCAAATATATCAGCCTTATCATCTGTTAGCAGAGCGCATAATGCAGAAAGAATATAGTAGACTATCTTTCTCAAAATCAGTCAGATAGTTTTGTAAACAAGAGGATGATTCTAAAGTTGGACTTTTTATCAAAGCATATGATGAATGGTAATCAGGTTGAGGCTGTTCCTTTGATATTTCTGCTTTTTGTTCCTTCCTGTGATCCCTAACTATATTTATACATGCATAGAAGAAACTCATGTACTAGAACTTGCAAATAGATGCTCATTATCTGGCATATAATGTACATTGACGGCAAACTTATTACCTGATATAGTTTTATTTATAATTATTCAACCCAATATTATACTTCAATATATTTAAGGATTGATGGTTATTTTTGTAGTCTCAGACTTCTTGATCTTTTGGTTTTCAAGTTGAGCCAACATGGCATCAGACTGAATGACCATAATACTCACCCTGAAATTTTAGTTTATGGAAAAGCTGAAATGTTTCGTATTCTTGTTTCTTTAAAAGTACCATATGCTATTGACTCGCTGATTGATCATAAATTGGTGTTATTTAGATCTACAAAGCCCAGAAAAACGTGATACTGTGCGTTGCAGCATGTCTTCTCTACTGGTAAGTAGCAATACAACCATAGTAGAAGCTTGGATTTGGATTCTTACCAGTCATGTATCATTATGATAGTCTTTTGTAATCATTTGTTGTGTGTGTGTGTGTGTGTGTGTGTGTGTGAGAGGATCCGAATTGAAGACCTCATTACTTTTTAGATGGAATGAAGTTAATTATCTGTACTTGGTTGTGATTTCTCTCTGGGTTTATACGACTGTGGTGTCAGGTCTATATACCGTATTTGTAAGTATCAGAAGGACATCCGGAGTCTGGAGGAAGTGGAGAAAAGATACAAGGCTCAGTAGCTTTCATTGAGATCCCATGGTGTAATTGATGGGTTTAGTTGAACTTGAAGCCCAAATGATGCTGTTGATAATACTCTATATGTGATTGAGTTTCATTTTTTTCCTTCAAAAATTACGATTTCGTTGGACTTCATATGTGCATATATGTTTCCAGTTTAATCTTCATTTTCTAGCTGAACGTGCTGTTTCATGAGTACAATAATTTTCTTCTCACTTCAATGATTCTATTCTATATCTTATGCCATCTATGAGACTATGATTATGTGCATGCTATATGAGCTTTTTTAGTCTTTTGAAGTTTGAACACAGCATACGTTTATAATATCTTTGATGTCACACATTAGATTTTTAAAATAACATACTTCTTTTTGGGTAAAAACTTGTTTGATTTAACATATCAACATGAAATAGTAGACTCGTGTATTAGGGTTCATACTGTATGATAAATATCAAACGCTAAATTAGCTGATTTTGTTGTTGACCTTTCAGTATAATCATTATATTATATATTATTTAAAAGCTGTAAAAAATAAATCCAATAAAACTGATGAGATATGTTTGAGTCCTTGCACTTTAAATAATTTTTACACCCTACGCCATTGGCACGAGGTTGACTCTAATTTAATCTAAAGTTTGTGTTCTAAAAGTTTGCCAAAAAAAAAAAAAAAGTTTCTGTTCTAAAAGTTATGTTAACAGCGCGGTCTCAAATTGACTTATCTCTACTGACATATTAAAATGAAAAAAAAGAAAGCATTTAAATATATATATATATATATTATTGATAAAAAATTAATTTGAATGGTCCATACATGAAATTTGAAAATACAAGAGAAGACAACGAAGAAAGAAGATGGATGAGCGTTGGCGAGTTGTAGGTGAGCAGTTTGGCCATAAACAAAATAAGAGAGAATCACTTGAGTCGGATTGGATGGCTTACCTGATCGAATCGTACGTATCGGCGGTCCGCTTCTCACCTAAAAAACATATTTGGGGTTGACTTGGATTAGATTGCTTAGAACCAGCATTTAACCTGAAACATGTTGTTGAGCATTTAACCTGAGAGTTTTAACAAACCAAGCAAGTCTCGGTTTTTCCTGTGTTATGAGAAACGGACCAAACTAAAATGGCAAGTTGAACTGAAAATCAGTCTAAATTCTAGTCCGATTACATCAAAAAATTACTTGTCTTGAGAACCAATAAAAAATAGGTTGAACCGATCTCGAACTAATAAAAAAAGACAAGATTGGCAGGCAGGCTAGTTGAAGTGATTCTGTTATTTTTTTATTTTTTTATTTTAAAATTTTTAATTCATATTTATAACTAAAACTAATGCATATTTATACTCAATAAGCATTGATAAATGGAAAAAAATAAACAAAAATATAAGAAAATCTATAGAAACTGTGCATGCATGCGTGTGCCTGTGGGAGAATTTTATTAAAGGCTCTTAAATGTGGCATAACTTTAATTGAGACCCAAGAAATTATGAAATTTTGCTACAAGCTTGAAGGATTGAAATGAAATAAATTTTTATTTAAATGATCAAAATGTCCTTCAATTATAATTAATATTACTGAAATAACAAGTCAACGTACGGTTTTTACAAATAACATTATTAGAATAACAAGTTAAATAACAGTTTTTACAAGTAATAAAGCTGAATAACAAGTCCAATTTATGATCTTTACAAATAACATTGATAAAAAAGCAAGCCAAGTTGCAATTTTTATAAGTAACACTGCTGCAATAACAAGTCAAGTTATAATTTTTTACAAGTAACAATCTTAAAATAACAAATCAAATTATGATTTTTGCAAATAATATTATGAGAATAATAAAAAGTTACATTTATTCTAATAATATTTTACTTATAAAACCCTTAATTTGACTTGTCATTATAATAATGTTACTTGTAAAAATCATAACTTGACTTATTAATTCTGTAATAATAATTATAATTGAAGGATATTTTAGTCATTTAATCAAGAAAATTGATTTCAATCCTTTAGAACTGCAGTTAAATTTCAAAATTTTTCAGACTTCAATGGAAATTATGTCACATACAAGAGCTGTTAATGAAATTCTCCTTAATGGAATATTGATGGATATTACCTTTCTCTTACTTTATATTATTTTTTTAAAAGTTTAAAAATTCATTTTTAATATTATATAAAAATAATTTGATTAAATCGGTTATCTCTGCAATGCCTAGCTATCATATGCAAGCTGCTTTGATTCCAAAAGGAATAATACATGAGATTGAGAAGATTAGTCAAAATTTTATGTGGAATCAGGATGAAGAGAGTAAAAAGCTACACCTCATTGCTTGGGAAAATATCAAAAAGAGTAAGAAAGTTGGAGGTCTAAGAATTAAGGTTCTTCGAAAACATAATATTGCTTTTATTATGAAGCTTTGTTGGGGACTAATGACAAAAACCAAATCACTCTAGGTTCGAGTGTTAAGAGCTAAATACAAGTGTGGAGATTATGGGCTTCCAATAATGTCAAAGAAGAAGAATTGTTCGCTCACTTGGAGATCTACTGCGGAAGTTTGGGATACTTTTAGTGAAGGCATCGGAAAGAAACTACTTGGAGGGGGTAATACAAAATTTTAGACCAAGTGTTGGTCCAAATTGGATAAACCTCTCCTAGCTTGTGTATCAAGCAACTTGGAGAATGTTGACTTGGATTCCCAAGTTAGGGAATTTGTTCTTCCAACAGGAAGGTGGAACATATCTTGGATGTGTAGTTTTCTTCCACAATGGGTGATAAATGAAATTTGTAAGGTTTAGCCTCTAGTTGGTGTAAATGAAGATGTCTTAGTGTGGCGTGTGGTGTCTGATAGTTGATTTTTTGTGAAAGTTGCTTATGGGTACATCAATCGTGAAAATCTTGTGACTGCTGGCAGAATTTGGAACAATATTTGGAAATGGAATATACCAGAGAAGATTAAGATTTTTATGTGGCAAGTTACCCATGAGAGACTATGCACAAATTCCCTGAGAGCAGAGAGAGGGATTTCACCTTCCTCTTCATGTCCTTTTAATTGTCAAAGTGTTGAGAGCATAATACATATACTCCGTGACTGTTAGAGAGTGAGAGATGTATGGTTATTATTACTAAATCCTAACCACCTTTCTAGCTTCTTTGGTGATGATTTGTAAGGCTGGTTGAGACAAAATGCTCGTTCAAGCTTTACAAACCGAGAATTTTCTAAATGGCAATAGACCAGAATCTTCAATTTTGTTTGCTAGTTACTATGGACGTCAAGGTGCCAGTTTATATTCCAAGGAGTGTTTACAAATGCTGCTAAGTTGATTCATCAGTGCAAATACCTCCTTATGGAAGGTATAAATAATGAACACCACCATCATGACATATTTCGGTATGAGTAAAGGTTGGAAACAGAGCAGACTCCACCTACAAGTAACGAGCTTCGGTTAGATGTTGATGGATTTGTAAGAGACCATGGAGAAGCTTCTTGCGGTGGATAATTAGAGATTGTCAGGGAAATTGGGTAATTGGCTTCCATAGAAATATTGGACTAACTTCAGTCATGGAGGCTGAATTTCTACTATCAAAGTAGGACTTGAGGTAGTGGAGCAATTTGCTGGTATACAGGTGTCGATCTTTACTGATTCTATTAATGCTTTTAATCTTCTTGAGAGAAAGTAGTCTAGATCATCCCCTACGCAAGCTGATTCTTAAAACTAGACATTATCTATTTGCTAAGTTAAATGTGACTTTATGTTACACTTCTAGGGACTTCATCAAGTGTGCAGATTTTATGGCTAAACAAGGGCATGGCCAAGCTTTTGAGATAACTTTGGTACCATTTGCTCCTAGGGATTGTGTTGTTCTAGTTAGAGAGGACCAAAAACATTTAGTGCGTAGATATCAATGTAGAGGAGTTTCCTCTCCTCATGTTTGAGTTTTCTATTGTATGTTGTAACCTTCAAGCTTAGGCTTGCCAAATGTAGCCAAATATATATATATATATATATATATATTTTCTTTCTTTTATTTTCAACATATATTACTTAAAATATATCAATTTATTTATGATCAATTAAATCATAATTCAACTATTAAACTATAAAGTAATGCCTTATTCGGTTCTTATGACATCAGTTTTTTTTTTTTTGGAGATGGGATTTCTTTATACCGGAATTAAAAAAAAAACTTTAAAAGAAGAGAGACATGATGAAAAAGGATGCAAAGTGGGGGTTTTTTTTCCTCCATTTCTCTCATCTTCCCCTCATTATTGTTAGGTCAAAATTTCAAATTATGATTCAATGTTTGATAAAATTATTATTTTAATTTTACATAAAAACATATAAATAAATTTAAATTATTAAAGTTCAATCTAAACGATTTAAAATTATAATATTTTATTTATATATTTTTGATAAAATTATAATAATAATTTTATCAAATATTAAATATCAATCGTTGAAAGGTGTTAATCCAACGGTAGTGAAAAGTAGAGAAGGAAAATGGAGAGAAAAAGAAGAGGCCCCGAAGAACGTCGGAGCAAAAACAAAGGAGAGAAATGAGAATGGCGGAGTAGGTGGGTAGAGAGCAGAGAGCAGTGAGCAGAATTGGTTAGAAGCGGTCAAAGCGGAAGGAAAGCGTCAAAATGAAACGAAGCAACAAACCTCTCTCTGTCATCAAAAGTGTGGGATCCAATTTTATTGCCTTCACGTGCCTCCCATAATGTTCATTCATTTTTCCTTCTCTTTGAATGCATTTACTATTATTTTGAAAAGTTCCTCCAATCACGACGACCACATTTAAACAACTATCATGTTTTTTCTTTTATTAGCCATAAATCAAATTGTTTGAAGTTCCCTGCTTTCTTCTCGAGTACGTAGGAATGCCTTACTTTCAAAGACATTGGGTTCGCTCTCGACCCTTCCTTCCACTCCCTCACATTTCAAGACCTCAAAGTTCAAATGCATTGTTAGAATTAGTAAAACCATTTTTATTACGTTTAAGTTGGTCCATGCTCATATTTCCCTTCCTTTGAATCCAAAATAAAATATCACTTTTTGAAGCATAAATCGCCTTTAAATTATGTTTTGGCAAAACAAATAGCTCTTACATTGTTTGAATATCTTAATCCTGATGTTCAAAACAAAAACACACATCAATGTACCATAAGCTTCAATTCTTTCAACATTTTCTTCAAACCTCTTGAAAATTCTACTTTTCAAGCAGTGCTGCATAAAATCACAAAGAACACAAACTATTGCATGTAACTATAATCTTAATTTTATTTAACTGTACAACATGAATCTCCTATATACTCTAGAACCTCTATTCATGGATTCTTTTCAAACCTATATATGACACTAGCCCTATCTTTTCCTAACTCTCTGGACGTAAATCTATCTTCATCAAAATCTAAAAAGAAATTGAATTTCAAAATGATCTCTTCAGGTTCTTGAAATCTGAGTCTATGCATTCCAAACCAGCCCTATAAGGATTGAACAATTTCAGAAGCTCTGTTGCTTTCTCCTTTGTCTCATCACCACAACCAACCTGCAACACCACCAACAGCTTCTGAAATGCACCAACTTGAAGTGCTTCAATCAGAGCTTCTTCTACTTCATCTTCATCATCGTCTTTAGATCCATATCTGCACAACTTCCACATAGCAGACACACAGTAATTTGTTGCCAAAGCTGAAATCCTCAAAATCTTCTTCACCAGTACAGGAACTGTAAGAGCATTACTGAAGGCCTTTTCTCTTCCTTTTTGACAGTCACAGAGTGAGTCAAAAACACCTAAAGCCTTCTCAGATAGGCTCTTGTCTGCGTCAATTAGGATCTCTAGAAGTGAAGAGATCAAACCCAGCTCAATAAATTCAAGCTTCACCTTCTCACTTGATGGGTAAGAAGATGAAACCAAGTAATAAACAATCCCTAGTGAAGCTTTTGTGATTGTTGGGTTAATTCTTTTGTTAATGAACTCCACCAATGGCTCAATGGTCCCTTCAATTTCTGCCATAGTCTCAAAAGTGTGTTTATCACCAGAGGAAAGGATCTGTCTCAAAGCAACAATGGCGTTCTGTTTTCCGGAAAGATCTTGGTGTCCGAAGAACCAAACCAAGCAACGCAAGGCATCTGAAGATTGCAAAATTTTCTGGGCTTCGAGTTGAAGTGGAAGCATCCAATTTAGGGCATTCAAAATCTCCTCTAGCACACTTACATTTTCCTCAATAGAATCATTCGCAAATTCACGAAATGCAGAGGCCAATACACTAGGAGTACCATTGTCCACAATACACCTCCTGTTTCTCTCGCTCTCGGAACCCCATTCCTTGATTCTATCTACGCCTTGCAGAAAACCATAACGATCCAAACGCGACGCCGAGGCCACGAGTTGAAAAAGAATCTCTTCGACTTGGATTGGAGTAACAGGTATTCTGGGAGTCGGAATTCTCTCGATCCCAAATCGTCGATTCTCAACGCACCAATCCTGAATCATAACCCTAAGCGAGTGATTAGGAACGAGATCAAAGCTGGAGAGAATCTGATTGGTGACAGGGCACGTGAAATTCCCTTGCTCGAACCAGCGTTCGATGCTTTCACGATCATAGGTAATTCCAGTTGATAACGTGACGGGGTCTTTAATCAAATCAAGAGAAACAGGACAGATGAAATGGTTTGGAATAACAAGATCCAGTTTGGGCTTTCTGGTCTTGTTGCTTCTTCTTCCCCATCCTAACACCATTTTTGAAGATTGGAAGAAGAGAAGAAATCAGAGAGGAGAATGGAAGGAAACAGTTGTGCGATTCAATAATCTGAAGTTGGTGGAATTGGTTCGTGTTGTGTGGCCGATGAATTTAAATGCGAACGTTACAGCTGGGACAACAAGTACATTTCAAAGCAGAGCAGCGAAGAAGAATTCAAGAGAAGCATTCAAATTAGATTGGAGAGAGAGAGAGAGAGTTTGTTAGGGGGGTGACAGAATTTGAATATTGACCGTTGAAGATTTGAAAGAAATTCAAATTCAAAAGCGTCAGAGGAAGAATTGGTAAGCAATACTCGTAAAGTACACTCGGTATTACTATTTTGTATTAATATTTAATGTTGCCATCTTCATAATCAATAATCATGCATGCTTGTGGCCTGGATTAGGGACACTCATCGTTTTTTTTTTTTTATCAACAAAAAAATTAGGTGAATTTGGTCCTGACATGCATCAGGTTCAAAGAATACCCACCTAATAAATATATACCCTAATATTTTAGTTAGTACACACCACATATTTTACTATTTTTCAGCTTAAAATTTTGACAACAATTATAATCATTTTCAAATATTTAAAATTTAAATTATATTAAAATATAAAAATACTAAATAAAGATAGAGATCAGGTTAAAGAAAATCTAATACAAATAAACTAGAAAGAAAAAAGGCAAAAGCTGTGTGTGTGTGAGAGAGAAAGACCATTATGTCGGCAAAAAAAAAAAAAAAACAGAGAGAAAGACCATTACATTCATAATTTGCAAATAAGAGGATTCTATAAGATTTTATATTTCATGATATTGATATAATTTCAAAATAAACCATTATTATAAAACATATATTTTCTTCATTTAAAAATATAAAGTATTTTTTAAAGAGTTGAATGTTAAAAAATATAAGGTATTTTTAATCTTTCAAGTGTCTTTTTTTAAAAATACCCCTATTGATGAATAATTTTATATTTATTATAGGGTATTTAATAAAAATAAATATTAAAAAATAGGGTTAATTTAAAAGTAGATAATTACTTTATTAGATGTGAGATTTTGTCAAAATACCTTACATTTTTTAACAGTTATATTTTTTAACAGATGAAGTATATAATATAAGTTTATTACAAATTAAACTATTTATAAATTATGGACAGCATCATTTGCATTCACATTCATCATTCATGCTATGTATAAAAACATATATAATTTAAGTTATGACAATGATCAATATACACACACATCAATCTAATTATCAATAAAAACATAATGAATTTTTTTCACCACCTAAGATAAAATGATTAAACGTAGGTCCTAAAAATAATTAATTTAATAATAATTAGGTCACAAAAATATTTGCTAAAAGATAAGCTGAAAATAAAAAATTAAACAGTCATAAATATAGAAATCTCAATTATAAATAAGACATTTAAATTGTATAGGTCATTGGTTGGGGGTTTGTGAGCTCTTGTATATGTAACAATGTAATTGGGTTTCTCAATATCGCGAGAGAAATAATTTCTGTTTATTAATAAAGCTTACTCTACATTTGCAATTTTCATTGTATAGGGCATTTTCATATTTGCAATTGAATTATCTGAATCTATATTTATAATCATATTTTAGTAAAAAATTTTAAATTTACCTATAACTAAATTAAAATTTTAGAACCTAGCTATTATTCTCCATATGAAATACGTTAATATCTGAAGCAAAGACAAGAGCTTAGATTTCCCCAAAAAAAAAGGAGAAAATATTTTGTTATTAATTAAGCGGTAATATTTTGTTATTAATTAAGCGGTATTATCAAGTTATTTTTTTGGCGGAAAGATTAGGAACAAGTTGATAGAAGTCTTTTTATGGCATCAAATTTTTAATAATAAAAAGGTATGATCTCTTGATATTTTATATTTCTCTGAGTTCATTAGTCTTCATGACAACCTTAAACAGAGACTTTCCAAAGAATTATGTTCAAGTCTCCTCGTTTTTATGCTTCTATTTTTGGGCCAACCTTTGTTTTTTGTTATTCTGACAAAGCAAGCATTGACCCTTTCCATTTGAAAAAGTTTCCCAAGAAATAACTGATAATGCCCCATGAAATTTCCAAAGCAAAAGGTGAAAAAAAAATAATAATCACGCGTTGTGTATCTTGCAATCTGGTATGGATATTTGACAATTGACACTTTCAAATCCTGCCAAGTCACACATACGCGTATGTAAGCTCATGTAGTTTCTCTCAATTTTAAATTAAATTTTTATATTTATTTTATTTTAATTAAATTTTTATCATTTGATCTATTATATTTGTTAATTCAGTTAAAATCTTTCAATTTTTTATTTTAAAAAAATTGAGGACTTTTATATTTTTAATAAAATATTACATAACTTTAGAATTAATTACTTAAATTTTGTAACTTAATATTTATTTATTTTTTTTGTTATTGAAAGTTTATGTGAGTTGGAGCTCACCAGGTCAGGACATGCTTCTAGATCCAAATAGCGTTTACAAAAATATTTATAAATTATTCACTAATAAAGTCTTCGACAATAGGATTTGCACCTATGACTTTGTGGGTTATAGGCATTATTATTACCAACTAAACTAATCTTTATTAGTTATAACTCAAAATTTATATTATTGCCTCCATTTCAAATTATAAAATATTTTTAAATAAAAGTTTATATATCAATAAACCTTATTAAATACACCTAACAATGTTATCTTTTCAAAATAAAAAAATATAAACTTTTAAAAATACCCAACAAAGGTTGTCTTAATTTTTTTTATAATATTACATTAAATCAAATTTTCTATAAAATGTAAAAATGTTTTTGTTTTGATAAATTTAATCATGCATTAATAATTTTAAAAGTTTAGAATTTAACATATCTGATATAACAAATTATATGGGTTTAGTTAAAGTAAAATAAATTAGAGGAATCTAATTTAAAATTGAGAAAAACTATAAAAACGTGTGTGTGTGTGTGTGAGTATTTGAAAAAAAAAAATTTCACAGATTCAATTTGGCCAAACTGACCCAATTTCACCTAAATCACAAGTGAATGAGAAATTGCTCTGGGAGATTCAATTTATTTTTTAAAAAAGGGATGGATAAATATTTAATTTTTAAAATATTGGATAAAAATCAAAGTTACGTTTAGACAAAAACAAACCAAAGGGAGAGCGATAATCTATTATAAAATTGAGGAGACGAAGCCAATTTTTGACTTCTTTGCGTGGGCAGCAGGATGGTGAATGTGGTGACATGAATAAATTTATTGTTGACACTGATTTATAAGCTGCTAATAAAAAATAGTAATAAATGGATAACCATATTTTGGGAGACCATTAATTAATTAATTAATTTAGCAATTTGACCCTAGCATATGCTTGCAGATTTGTCTTTATATTTGGGCTTCTAAATCTGAGTCAACGTTGGGTTGCCCCCAGTCTTCAAATCTAACTTTGTTCAAGAACTAAATTTTTTTAGTGCAATATTCATATTTTCATTATGATTTTTTTTTAAAAAAAAGTTGTAAAATGTTCACTTTTTAAAAAAATTTAAAAAAATTGTAATTTTAGCAAGGAGTTGCCCCTTGTTTTAACATAAAACTTTTTGTTTAAAGCATTATTTTTTCTTATGCAATGTTTGGTAAGCATAAAAGCGTTTTCTATAAATAAAAAATGAGAAATGTACGTATCTCATTTTCTTTCTTGATAAATTCCCCATTTCTTATGTAAGAAATATTTTTATGTATACTAAACATGTTATAAATGTTTTTTTCTTTAGTATCTTCTAAATAACTAAAGAGCCTCCTCTTATGGATAAACTTCTAAAAATAAATTTGAAATCTTAATATCATCAAGTAATTTTAACTGGTTTTCTTAATTTATGTAATTAGTAAATCCTTACTAATAAAGAGGAAGTATTGCGTATCAAAAACAGAGGAAGTATTATATATAAGACTTTTCATTGTGTAACACTAACCAGGATGGTTGGATCTCGCAGACAAAGGAGATGAAGCCACGTAAGGGCCATAGATTATCCATGATAACAAACCACCGTGGGTTCCATTGGCTTATAATTATCCAAGTCACAACTCAAAATTGGTTGAGTTGGTCAATTTTATTAAATCTAACGGTTATAAGATTTGACCCCAGGAAAAAAACAAATGAATTAAACCGCAAGTTAGATGGATTAGCTCTCCTAAACTATTGCGCTGGCAAAAAAATAAAAAATAATTTTCAATTTCGAATTAAATAGCGTAGCCCATTTTTTAACCTATAACATGTGTTGGATTGCTCTCTTCAATTTAACGCCTTTCATTAAACATACTCTGCAGTAACAACAACAACAACAACAAAATGCCTATCATGTTTTCTTTTTAGGTGTATTTTTCATTTTTTTAAAAAAAATATTTCCTATGTATCAAACATGCTTATGTAAAATAACTTCAAAAGAAAATGCCACCATATATTACACACATATACATGCATGCATATATAAATATATAGATATATGTTAGGGAAAATGACATTAACAGTGAATTTATGATAATTAAGCCCGATATTGATTCAAAAAATTGCAAGTTCAAGAATTTTAATTACAAATAAAATATTTAAATTTTAAATAGAACTCTTAATTTATAATTGAAATTCTTGTTTACAATTATTTAAATTAATATTTACAACTTTACTTATGAAGGAATCTAAAATAATAAAAAATAAAAGTACAGAGATTAAAAATACCAAAAAAAATACAAAAATTAATAGCAAAATGTAAATAAAGTATAAAGAACTAAAGTTATATTTTTTCAAAAAAAATAAAAAACAGCTATCACATTTTCTTTTTAAGCATATTTTTCATTTCTTTTTTTAAAAAATATTTTTTTCCATGTAAAGTAGCTTCAAAAGAAAATGCCACAATATATTACGTGCATATATATATATATATATATATGTATATATATGCATGCATGCATATACACTTGGGACTAACAATGAATTTATCATAATTAATTGTCCCCATAAAATTAAATATTGATTTAAAAATTTATAAATTCAAGAATTTTAATTATAAATAAAATATTTAAATTCTCAATATAACTCTTAAGCTGCAGTTGAAATTCTTGTTAATAAATGTTTAAATTAATATTTACAATTTATTTTTTAAAAATTTTAATCAGAAAGTTAACTGTGATAAATTGTCTATTTTGGAACATTATTGTCAGTCTGCCAATATATTATACCTTATACTTTCGGTAGAGATTATACGCCTTTTATTATTACTCAATAATATCTTTTTATTATTAATTTTTTATGCTATTTGGCATCTAATAATTGTCGAAATAAGAGTAACGCTCCCAACTAGATTTGTTAATTTAAAGATAAAAAAATAGTTCTCATTTACAAGACTACATTTTGCAACCCGTTCTGTTTACATCCTAATTAACCAGTCACTGAAGATACAAAGTTATCAAAATCAACCACAACATGCTGTCAGCAAAATTCAAACACCACCAACCGACTCCTTGACTACAAGTTCCTAAATACCTGTCGGCCAATGGGAGTATTCGCACTCCTCCCTGAAACAAACTAAATGACGGGGTCAGAACAAGTAGGCAACGTAACCTTTTTTTTAAATTTTAATGCATATAATTACTCAGTACTCATTAGTCTTCTTTCCAAATGAATCTACAAGTCAAATTTAAATAATGTGTACAACTTTTAGTTCTCTTCTTCACGTTCACGGCATGATCAGTGAGAATGAATTGGCACTAGGGAACTCCAACAGGGCAAAATTTTATAAGGGCAATGGTGAGAATGAGATGACCTGCTTTGGCTCTTTCTTTAGTAGAAGGAGACGCTGTACAACAGCTTTCGCCGGTGTTGTTTCTCAAAAGCGGCAACAATGTCATCAATGGACTCCTCCCATGATTCAGCTGCTTCAATCTGTGCACAGAAATATATCAGAGGAAGTCAGCTAATAGTGTAGAGAAGCTACAAGTACAATGAGAAGACATAGTAGCATGAATGAAACAGACATCCTGGCAAAGGTCTAAAGTAAGCCTGGCTCCAATGGCAGCCTCCTCATGGTTATCTTTCACCTCCAATTTATAATCAACACAGTTTTCATTAGAACATGATCTCTGTTGTGGAGATCTGCACATTTTTACAGAAACAGTCAAACTCAAATATACGCCCAAGACCATAAGAATTAGGACATTCAGACTTGACATGGTCTTCAATCCACATGTCTCTAAGGAAGTTTCCTAGTGATAGATAACAAACCCAGTTGCAATAACAAACAATGCTTCCCTAAAAGCTCAGCATTTGTGTAGAGTTAGGATTATAAAATGATTTACCACCAACAATTATTATCAAGGAAAGTACATTCCAGATCAAGTTTTTGTTAATAACTTAATAGCTCAGTAAAGCTCCAAGACCAAAACAGGAAAAATTAAAAACAACTAGACTAAAGAGTTACATTAAATATGCACACCACAGGTAACCGGGAACCTATGACAATGGAATAATACTACTCTCACAACTATTGCAGTAAGAAAACATTAAACACAGAATCCCACTTTGATGCATTGCAGTTCTGCTTTCAATGAGAATAAAGAAACGGTGAAAAAGAAAGTATATAAAGTATATATGCAATCAACTTGCAAACTCTTGGTTCCAAGCAAACATCATCACTGTTCTCTCGATTAGTTTAATATCCAAAGCCCAAAAAATATCTCTCCCAAAAATCTTTTTATGACAGAAACTTGACAGAGATGAGGAAAAAAATCTAGAGGGGCCATAATGATCGATTTGTATTATAATGAAAGGAATATGAGAATTATCATTTATCTTCCCTAATAAAAGTAAAGAGAGATGTTAAACAGAATAAGCAAAAACGAAATAAACTTCTCGTGCCATGCATTATCGAGAGGATATTTAATATAGAAGATGATTATACACAACGATGCACTTATATAACTAGTAATACGCAAAGGATGATTTCAAATTTTGTACAACAACATTATTTCCAGAATAAGAATTATTATCAATATTCTATAACCTCTGAATCTATTTGAAATTGATAAAACAAAAAAATTATAGTTTTTTTTATACAGCTGTCAATTATCCATGGAGTCATCTTTCAGGTTGTAGTGACAAATATGTTTTATGACTATGTTGTAATACTCTGTAAGAGATTGCAGAAGGTAGAATGGCCAACACAAAAAGCAAGACACTGCCTATACATGACACCTCAAATCATTCTTCCTCCTGCTCTAAAAGGTTTTGCTAATTGAGTGCTTTTCGAAATGAAAATAACAGACATCTAGAAAGTTTGTCATCTCCTGTAAAATCAAGTCCGCCTAAAACCAATTTTTAACTTCATTATGATTTAAGCCGATGCAAGATTTAATCCAGGGATAACCCTTTATTGTTTCCGGGGGAGCAACCACATATATGTTATCTTTAGAATCGAACTAGAGCAAAAGGAATGAAACTTGGCAAAATTATGAACCTTCAACAACCATGTCAAAAACTTTTTCTTCAAATGTAAAAACGATGTCAAAGGATCCATCAGCAGCATTGTCTTGCCATCGTTGAGGTGCCAATTTTACTGCTGAATTCCTTTTAAGCATTGGCAAAATCCCATTTCGCTTGTAGCTGCACTCTCATTAAGGTTCAAGCTTAATGGTACAATGAACAAGGATTGAAGTGCAGTGGATGCTAAGGCAGGAATAATGAACAATAATGTATGTGTTAATTCTGCATCTCACACTTTCCACATTTTAGACTGTTTAAGACATAACGTGTAAGAAAACCATGTATCCCATGCAAAGTTTACTAACAAATGCATAAAAGCTCTTAATCCACCAAAATTATCCCTATATAGTCTAACCAATGCAGAATAGCTAGAGCTAAAAAAGGGAGAAACTTTCTTGCTTTATAGCTGCTCAATAAATCAACCCGTATCAACACTAAACAATTTATGAATGGAATTAGAAGAAAGACAGAGAATTCATTTTCCAAGAAAAACCACAAATCACAGAAGTGAATTCAATTTCCTGAAAATTCAAACGCATCAATTACTGCGTATTATAATTAACCCACAAGTTTTGACAAACAAAGAGGAGAAAATAAATGAAAAGAGAAACAAAAACGAGTATGAAAATAGTTGGAAAAGAAGAAGGATACAGTTCTTGGTCTTTTCTGCGAAGATCGTCGAACATCTGTTTGTAGGGAGTTCCAAAATCGTAGACATTGGGTTCTCTGAGGGAGGGCCCAGGGAGCTTAACGTGGGCACCAGTTCCATAAGAACACACATCAAAGCCCTGTCGTTTGAGGATGGAATGAGCTTCCATGCTTCGGTTCTGGTTCGAAGAGCACACCATTGCATACCGAAACTTCATGGTCGCCGAAGATGAAGATTCAAAGAACTGACCAGAAATTCTCTTTTCTTCTTCCTTACGTACGAATCGGAGGTTAGAATGGTGAGGTTTCCGGCCACAGAGCACCGTCAAGCGAGCACCACCAAAGCTAGGTGAAGTGTTAGGGCATGGGACGCCTTCTCGGTGGGTCAATTACCAATTTATGGGTTTTCAGATAGTAACGGATATTGATATTATTGATGATATTGTCAAAGCACCTTTTATTATTTGTCCACGCCCTTGGTGTAAAGTAATAGGGAGAGTATTAATTACATTTCTTTAATATTATTTTTATTTAAGTTTATTAACAAGAAAGAACATAATGTAAATTTAATTTTTTTTATTATTTAAATATGGATAAAATTAAAAAAATTAGATAAAATTAATAATTTAATCACATTTACTTACTAAATGCTTAAAAATACCTTATAACAAAGACTTAAGAGGATAACCAATAAAGATTGATTCAATTTACAAATATTTAATTCATAACTCACAAGCCAAATCACTAAACTCTTACCTTAAAAAAAACAAAGAAAGAAAAGAGAAAAAAATATTTAATATTAAATAATTTATCATCTAAAATTTTTGTATCACGGTAATTGTTATCATTTAATTTAATAAAAATAATAAGTAATGAAATTACTGAAAATTTTGATTAATTTAGCTGGTTCAGATCTTGTATTTTAATTCAGTTTTAATGTGATCCATAAAAATTGATTTTAAAATATATTTATTCAAATGCCTTTATTATATGCCATTTTTCATCTTCATTTGCGAGTGAGGAGTATGAGCAGAGTGCCTACTTCTCCCGTTCCTCTCTAAAATAGAATGTTTTCTATTTTATTTTTTATTTTTTGTCTTGATATAAATCATTGTAAAAGAGTTTGTGTAGTGTTAATTACTTTATTTCAAATATACTCCACTCATTCTTCTCGATTTTCAATGAGAATATGAAAATTGTTTTTTGAAATTTGATAAAATCTAAATTTCATTTATTGAGAATAAATATAAAATACATAAATCATCTAAAGAGATATTTTGGGAATATCACCTTCTAATAAGGTTTCTAGTAATGTGCTTTACAATGTGCAAGGCAAAATTGTTATGCAAAGTGGTTTTGCAAGAAGTGAGGCTTTAAGGAAATACTTAGCTCAATGGATACTAGAGGGCGCAATAAGAAGCAGCAATTCAACTTTTTGATTGAAAAGGTACAACAGAGATTAAGTGGATGGAAGGCACAGACTCTCTCCTTAACAAGTCGCCTTACTTTGGTCCAATCTATAACAACCCAGATTCCTAATTATCACATTATGCACAGCAAGGTGCCAGCTAATGTTTGCAAAGAAATTGAAAAAGCACAACAAAATTTCATTTGGAATTCGACTCAAGAGAGAAGAGTTCATGCTCTAAGCTGGAACACTCTTTACTTACCAAAAGAGCAAGGGGGATATGGGTTATGCAATTTGGGAACCATGAATGAAGCCCTTCTATGTAAATCTGTGTGGAATATTATAGCTAAACCAGATAGCTTGTGCACTTCCATTTTAAAAGGGTAAATACATGAGGAAACAAAACCTTACAAAGGGGGCTATTGCTCAAAACTATGATTCAACTATTTGGCACAATTTAGTTGAGTTATGGCCTAAAGTAGTTGATTTCTTGGAGAAAGATATCAGAGATGGCATAGATATCTTGTTCTGGAAAGATAAGTGGTTAATTAATAGTGGGGCCTTGATTGATAGATGTGAACAGCTACCCCCTACTGAGCTTTTCAATATGACAGTGGCTGACACTCTGAATGACAAGGATGAGTGGAATCTTTCATTCCTGACTAGTTTTCTAGGGGAAAAAGACATCAAATTGCCAGTAGGCCATCACATCCCTAAGCCAATTAATGAAAGGGATAGGATTGGTTGGGGTCTTAAGGCTAATAGAGATTTCTCTGTCTGTTTCATGTATAAAGCTCTTTGCTTAGAACCAAGTGGCATATCTAATCTAGTTTGGAATCTTATTTCGCAGTGGAGTGGTCTTAGAAGAGTTCCAAATCTTCATGTGGTTGGCCATGTATAAAAGAATTATGGCTGGCTAAAGAAGAAATATGATATTTCACTCACCCAATTGCTGCAACTTATGTCACAATGAGATCGAAGATGTGTTACATGTGCTTAGAGATTATATTATAGCTAAAGATGTTTGGATTAGATTTCCTACTGTCATAAATGCGGACTATTTTTTTTATCTAAATAAGGCTGATTGGTTTCAATGGAATCTCAAGAAGAAAGATCAATATTGTGGCATCCCTTGGAGCATCATTTTTGGGATCACAGTTTGGTTGTTGTGAAAATTGAGAAACGTCCGTACTTTAATGGCAATAGTACTAATGTTGAGAGACTCAAGAACAAGATCTATAGCTTTGCGAGTCTGATGTTTACTAGCATGCAAATGATTTGAGGAAATCCTCTAACCAAAGACAGAATCAAGGCGGATGGGAACCTCCCCCGCAAGGTTAGATTAAACTTAATGTCGACGGCTCAATATAAGGAAATCTTGGGCCTACATCGTGTGGTGGGATTTTTTGTAATTCTAATGGTAAATGGGTGAGTGGATTTGTGTGCAACCTTGGTATTTGTATAGCTAAAGAAGCTGAGTTTTGGGGTTTGTTTTATGGGGTACGAGTGGCATGTGTTCTTAACCTCTGCAAGCTGATGATTGAAAGTGACTCATCTGCCATGGTTCAAAAGTTCCAAACTGCTTTAGGCTTCCTCACAGCTAAACAATGGTAGATTCAGCGCACCCTCAATTTAATTAATGAGGATTGACAAATTGTGGTAAGACATATCTACAGAGACAATAACGTGTGCTGACTGGATTGCAAAATTCGGTCTAAGTCAAAACTTTGGTTGTAGTATTATCGAGGCTCCTCTTAAAGACCTCAACCAGTTATTACTTTGAGATGTAAAGGGTCTAAATGATCCTTGTTTAGTTTCTTATAATAAATAAGAGATGAGCTTTTGCCCCGTTGTCGATCAAAAAAAAATCAAAACATTTAGATGAACAAAAGAGACAACTTCATCTATACATGATGAAAAGAAAGAAAACGCTAACACCAAAACAATAAATATTAAATAATCCTCATTCTAATAGATCATGTGAATTCCGTTCTTATAGCTATCTCTCCCTTTACCTCTTCAAAGATCAGGTGAATTTCATTCTTCTATTCGCTAAATATCCTTCGGTTTCTTTCAATACAAACATGATTCACAATATAGTAACATATATACCACCAAAGTACATATCTTTCAATTTTGCTATACCCTGGAAGCATAAATACAGAATCTGGTGCACCTGTTGGACTCATTAGGTACACTACAGCCACCATTAATCAAATCTACTAGCAACAATTGAAAAATACTCCCTCCATTTAAAAATATAAGGTATTTTTTAAAAAGTTGGATGTTCAAAAATATAAAAAAATTTTAGTCTTTCGAGGTGCAATCATTGTCTTTGTTTAAAAGTGTTCCTATTAATAATGATTTTATATTTATTATAGGGTGTTTAATAAGGATAAATATAAAAAGATAAGATTAATTTAAAAGTAGGTAACTATTTTTTATTAAGGTAAGATTTAATTAAAAATATTTTATATTTTTAAACAGGGAGAGTAAGTGTTTTCCTTTTTTCTAGAAATTGCATTTGTTGCCTGCCACCTGTAATTGATTTTTGCAAGCGGATGGGATAAATGCACTAAATCATGGGTGGGTAACTGAAATTCTTGCGATGTGCCCTTTGTAACGAGTCTGCTTTCTAATGCTAGTCATGCAATGGAAAGGTATTTTGGAACATTAAACTTCCCCATACAATTATCTGCCCATTGAATTACTCTTGAGTCCATTTTCCTCCTTGAAAGTCATTTGCCATTTGATGCCTTAATTTCACTTTTTTTCCCAATGCCCTGACTTGTGATGTGCTTTATTTGATAAGTCCAACAATTCGTATTTTTTTTTTTTGAAGTAGACTTCATCTATCCACTTTACTCACATTGTATTTGTCTTAGTTAGTAGCCATTGTCCAGCATATTTGATTTTTTTTTTCCATAGCATATTTCCTCCCAACTCACCAGAGCCAATCTAAGATCAATAACTTTTTCTATCCTGAAAAAAGTTCTTTACAAACCCTTTCCACTTCTTTGGCTATGGACTGTGGCAAAATAGAAATTAAAGACCAAATCCAATAGATATAGAAAATGAAGATAAGAGAGTTAATCAATTGAGATCTGCTTGCATATGACAAATGCTTTGTCAACTAACTACTTGCTCTAGCCGTTATCTTTTCAACATGACTATGACAGTTTCCTTTAGACCAATTCCCTCTAGACAAGGTGCCTTTAACCTAATTACATATGAGAAATCTCTAAAAGCTTGCATTAAAATCTCATTGTAATGTTTGCTGGTTGATTTGGAATTTGATCATCCCATTGTACCATGTTATGCCTATCTTTGATTGATTCGGTTGGATTATTGAGATGTTTTGAATCAAAGACCAAGGGTCATGCATATTGACCATCATGAACTATTTTTGCTTAATTTTAGATCATGCATGTGTTTCTATCCCAACAAACCAATGGTTTTCAGGCGCGGTTTGGGGGGGACACTATGATGGATTATAAAGCATTAGTCAATGTAATTTAAGGGGGAGGGACAAATAAATACCTCTCAAATAGAAAATGATAATTTGATCCTCTAAAAGGTAATAATGATAGTGAGATTTTAAGAAATTTCTTTGATATTAAATTTTTATATAAAATAACTTTAATACCTTTGGCAACTAATTTTACACTATTCAAAAATTTGCTATAAATATTTGTAATTTTGGTTCTATCAATGAGTAAAAAGAATCACAACTTTACATTAACAAAGTCTAATTAATGTTATATCCCTTGTAAGTTTGATATAAGTATTTACAAGTTTAATTTTATTAATGACTAAAATAATTTAAAAAAATTACAACTTTATAAATTATATAGAGGCACTAAAGTAATTTCATACAAATATTTAATGTCAAATAAATTCCTTGGACTTCACTATCATTATCACGTTTCATGAGATTAAATTGTTATTTTCTTATTTTAGATGAATTTATTTTTTTATTTTTACATAATTTAAAGATCACTAAACCAATAAAGTTGTTTGAATTTGTAAGGATTTAGACCAGAACTTACACAAATGTAAAATCAAATCTAATTGCTGATGTAAGAATATTGATGATGAACAATCTCTAATGTAAGTGCTATTTGGCATCTCCGATTCCTAACAAGCACATAAGACTTTAATAAGTTGCCTAGCAAGTGATGACTTTGTTACGAGTGCAATTTGAATCGTCACATTATATAAAAGGCTCAACGCTTCAGCATGAGAAACGCTGACTCCCTTGCAACTAAAAAGCTATAACAAATTTTTCACGTGATTGTATAAATTTATTGAACATTTGAACTTGGCTTAAAATATTGGTTTTCATGCTCCGTTTATTTTACGTTTTTTTTTAAAAAAAAATTTCTTCGGTGTTTATTATGTTATTTGGGTTCATCTTTCAGTCCTTTTATGTTTTTTAAAAAAGGGCAAGGCTATTTTTCCCTACAAATGTAAGTCAAATTAGTCGGCTTAAAAAAAAGATAGTGGAAAAAAGATTATTATCACACACAAAAAATCGTGCTCACAGAGTCATATAAAATGTTTTTTATTTTATTATTTCTCCAATAAAAGATATAAGGAATGTACTTTTTTTTTTTGCCAACAGGCAAATACATTCTTTAATAATAAAAAAAATGTCAGACCAAAAAAATCATAACAATGACAACAAAATAAGTAAATGATTCTACCAGAGCCATCTAAATATTTAGAAAACTGTAAATTCATTATAATATAACTAAAAGTATCCTTAAAATAAATAAATAAGTAAAATAGAAAGTACAATTCGTTTTTAAATAAAATAATATCCACAAGACAGATTGACAGACGTTTGGCTGAGATTGGGACGCGTACACAGAATGAGAAGAAGGAAAGTGGTTGAGGAAATCCTTGGCGGCTACGTGAGTGGCCAATTGGCCACCACACTTCCAAATTTCAAATCTCCATTCAAAAATCTTAACCTTAATTAATATTATCATAATCAATTCAACAATATAATATATAATAATTATTCCACACAATGGCGTCTGGATTAGTCTGTAATACCCAAGGTTTCCCTAGACATGAAATAAAAGAATTATTTATATTTTATTATCAAAATTATTTCTTTCATTGAACAGTGAAGTGTCGTATCCGGGTCCCAGTTTGCAATCCAAAGACTGGAGGTCTCCCGAATTTATTTCTAAGTCTATCTCTGTTTCGTGCCCATACAAAAATCTTCCTCTTTAACCCTGTCCCTTAACTTGTCCGTATATTTAATAATTAATGTTCAATTCAATTAATAACAAGTGCACTGTTTTGCAATATGATGAATGAGTCACGCCATGCTTAGTTTGTAAATAATACAACAATACTACTTGTTATTAGTATAATTAGTGTAATTTTATATTCCATGTTATATATTGATTAAATTAGTCTAACTTTAACAATTTGCATGAAATTTAAAAAATATATCATTTATCATTTAAAAATTTATAATTTTAAGTAATTTATAAATATTATATTTTATATTGTTGAATTGATTATGATAATATTAATATTGAATGAATATTTATGTTGATGATAACATTACAAGAGCAAAAGATGGTTAAAAAAACATTACAAGAGCATAGATTTGTTAATCCACTAATGGAACTTCAAATAGGAGTTGACAGCATGATAAAATAGTAAATAAGTGTTTTATTGAGTGATTTAAGTTTAGAAAAACCTGGAAAGAGAGTCTGGGCTTGAAAGATTGAGATTACAAAGCAAAGCTCAGATCATAAAGTTATATTGGCATTTAATTAATTGAGAGGATTCTTTATAGGTTAATGTGCTTATTTCAAAATATAAATGCAATTTGTGTGAAATTTCTGAGTTCATCAAGAAGGCTAATATGTCCTTGACTTGAAAAGCTATTGCAAATATATGGCTGAAATTTAGATAGGGCTTGTGAAAGAACTTGGTTAGTGGAAGGAACACCTTTTGTTGTGGAGAAAAGTGGGAGGGGGGTGCTTGAATAGCCCTTAAATGAATTAAGAATGCAGAGGAGTGGTATATGATGAAAAAGAGGCTGTGGCAGACTACATCCTTCATAATAGTGCTTGGGATAGTGAAAGAATGTGTCGTTGGTTGCTTAAGCCTATGATTAACCTAATAAATCGCACTTGAATCTCCATTGAGAAAAGAGAAGAGGATAAATACACTTGGCTACCCTCTACTAACGGTACCTTTTCAATTAAATTTGCCTTTAATTTCATTTTTGCAGGTACTGTTGAGGAGAATGATGACATTTGAAATTAGAGTTGTCCTACACTAGAAAAGATCAAATCCATTCTCTGGCTTGTGGCTCATAATAGAGTTCATACAGCCATATTCAAAGTAGAATGTGGTTTACAAAGTTCAAGTGCTTGCCCGTTAGGATGCTTGAAGGAGAAAAACATCATGCATCTCATTAGAGATTGAAACTTAGCCCGAGATAGATGAAAAGAAATAATTCAATGAGATAAGTGAGAGAAATTTTTTTCTTCAATGGGCATGATCAACAGAGATAGAATCTGAAAAGTAATATAGGGAATCATAATACTAGGAATGTCTCGTAGGACACCCTATTTGGATACATCTGTTGGGATATTTGAACTACTAGATATAATAGGCTTTTTGGCTTTAAAGACGTTGCTGGTAATATGTCTCATTTGAATAAAGTTTTTTAGAACTGTTATGGATATAATGTTGCTTAATTCCTACTTTGTTAGTCTCAGCAGGTGGAATATATCAACCAAATGGATTCCTCCTTTTAATGGTTATGTCAAACTGAATACTAATGCTTCTGTGTTAGTGGATAGGAGGAGTACATGTGGGGGAGCAATTAGAGATGCTAATGGTATGCAGATTATGGGGTTTGGGGCACATTTGGATCCTTCCCCATCCACCATTATGGGAAAAAAATGTATAACCAAAAGGTTGGAAATTTGTTGGAATCTCGGCTACAGATAAGTTAAAGGTACTAATGATTGTATTGAAGCCCTCAATTTGATTCTTAAAGATTCCATTGTTGATCTTTCAAGAAGCTATTTTGAAAGTTAGAGAGTTTAACTAGAGACATTGGACTCTTGTATTAAATTTCACTTTTAGAGAGGTTAATGAAGTAGCGAATAGTTTAGCTATTTTTTCTTATAGTTTATCAATCTCTCTTTAAACTTTTGATCATCCTCACCTTGTTATTATAAGGCGGTGAATGATAAAAGGTTGGTTAGATCTCCTTCAATTGTGAATCTTTTTACTATACTATCCTTTTTGTACTGATTCTAATTTTAATTATATATAGTATTACTCTTGTTTATTCAAAAAAAAGTTTAGAAAAACGTTAGGAACCTTTTCCAATTACATGAGTATACAAATTTATGTATAATTTATTTTATAACTACTTCTTGTTAGTATTAACATTTTTAACTTATATTTTAATTTTAAATTTTACTAATCCCTCTCTAAGGATGTCAACTAAATTAATCAAAAGAAACTGAGCCTACTTAATATGTTTAGGCCAACTGAGTCTTTAATGTAAGATAAATTGTGAAGCTTTTTTATAATATAAGATAAAGTTAAAGTAATTAATAATTTTCAGTTTTACTCTTAATTAATTATCTATCCTTCGAATTTTTAGATAGAAATTTATTATATTTATTAATAATTAATTGTAAGAGGAGCAAAGGTAAAAAGTTGTATTTTTTTAATAATTATAATGATATAACAATAATTTCTTAATATGTACGAAATTGATTTAATTTGCCTTATATTAACAAACAAAGGAAGTACAATAATATATAATATACTCCTTCCTGCCCTGTATATCGGAATGATGTGTTTTTAACTAGAAAGAATCACATCTAAATGTCACTAAAGGAAATTACTCACAAATAATAATCAATACAAAATAATTATTGTTAAAATAAAAATATAATTTTTTTAAATAAAACTTGTTGTTAGTTTTTGTTCATAAATAATTTACTTAAATAATCTCTGCATGTGATTCTCCATTTTAACTATCTTTGCAAGGATTAAGAAAATTAGTTAATATGATTTGTTTCACATGTAAAAAATCATCATTACTTTTCAAGTTACCCTCTAATTAAAATTAATCTATTTTAATTTTTTTACTTTCTTTCTTACATAACATCTCTTCACAATACAATTAATAGGGATATTTTCTTAAAAAAAATTAATGTTACTGATTTTTTTGTAGAGTGTTCTATATTTAGACCAACATTAGCAGGTACTATAAGATAATATGTATTTAAAGGGAGGGCAAATATGTCATTTGGTATATTTGTCAAGTTGACGCAAGCTACCGTTTTGCATAAATAAACCGCATCAGTTTATCACGCGCTTGCAGAATTCTACCCACCGGCTTGCAGCGAGATACAACACGCATCCCAGAGCCGATCTTCGTTGGGTTCCACGATTATTATACCGCTTCCATTTTCTCTCTCATCGTCTCTTCTATCTCTCTAGGGTTTTGCATTTTATCCCTTCCGATCCCTGCAATTACCTTAAAGGTACGCTTCGTCTTGATTCATAATTTTTTTTTTGGGGGTTATTTGGCTAGTTTTGCCTGTTTTTCTGTTAATTCAACATTTCCGGGCCTCGCAGGGCTGCAAATGGATGCGGCGGCAGTGAACGTCGTCCGATCATCGGTGGTTCCATGTAAGCTGATGGTTTGCCTTGGAAGATCGAGCATATTGGCTCCCAACCGGCCGGCCTGCGCCCGGTTTTCTTCCAGTTTTCAGCTCTCCAGTAAGGTATGAAGTCGGTTTTTTCCTTTTTATGGGGTTTCAACTTCGAGTTTCGGTGTATGGTTCTGGGAGTTCACGTTATTTATGGAGAATGAACTCTGGGCGGATTTGTCTGCTGTTCTTTATGTTGGTTTTGAGCTTATTTGGTGGATTGCTATTGAAGTCGTTTATAATTATTGGTATAGTTATCGATTATCGATGTTTGGTGGGTGGCTTGGCTGTTATAAATGGGCTTGTGGATGGAATTGAGCTTAAGTTTGACTTAGGACTGTTATCAAGCAGGAAAAGAAAGGGCAATATCAAATCAAATTCGAAGCACGAGTTTCTGACTGTGCTTTGTTTAAGGCGCATGAATGGTTCCCCGGTCACATCTGTAGATAAAAGCAATCCACGATTGATCTTTATTTGAAAACTGCCCAAAGTATATTTGGAGTCATTTTTTGCTTGACTATTGGGATTGGCAATCAACTTTGTTTCCTCGATATTTAGACAGTGACGAATTAAGGATTATTTTCCGGGGATGCAAAATTATCTTCTTCTACCTATGCGGGTCAAGCTTTAATTGAGCATTTTTTTAACCTATTTTTAAAGCACACCTTCGATTATTTCTATGAAGGTGGAAAATTGTGTGATGGTGCTCCCCTTGAATCCGTCACTGTACTTAGATGCCAACTACTATTCAGATTGCCTTCATTGCCTCATTTGTTCTTATATATTTAATCTTGTTTGTGCGCTTCTATGGAAGTAGAATTTTGGAATGCTCCCTCCATCCCTATATATAAGATGTTGGTTAGAAAGTTTTTTTTGTCCCTAAATATAAGGGTTCTCATAATATTTTTTAACAAATGGACAATTTTACCCTTATGTTGTCTTGGAAATGAAAAAAGCTACGTACTGCATTAATTTACTTTTGAAAATTGGTCAAGGGCAAAACTAAAAAAATGTTGTGCTTTTAAGTAAATAACCAACTTTAATTGATTTGTGTGAATTAGTTAAAACCATCTTATATATAGGGATGAAGGGAGTGCATCTCGTTTGGATGTTGCATCTTGCATGGCTGATATTTAAAATATATTTATTTTTTTCCTGATTATTCTTGATGATTGCCAGCTGAACTATTCTGTGTCTATCCCCAAGCAAGGTCACAAGAGACTGGCTTTTGAAAGTAGAAGAGGTTTAGTAGTTAAAGCTTCATCTCTATCCCCAGAATCATCAGGGTCAAACACCAAAATTGCTCCTCTTAAGCTGGAATCTCCAATTGGACAGTTTCTTTCTCAGATATTGATTAGTCATCCGCATCTTGTGCCTGCTGCAGTAGAACAACAGCTTGAGCAGCTTCAAACTGACCGTGACGCTGATAAACAAAATGTGGAAGAGCCTTCTGCTTCAGGCACTGACTTAGTTTTGCACAGGTTTGTCCAATACTTGATGCTGCTGCTATTTTGTGCTTTATCTTCACATCTTTTCTTCATTGGCCAATTAATCTAAGAAACTAAATTCTTGCTTGTTGATTAATCATGGTTTCCTTGGTCATATATGGAGGTCTTCTTATATACCAGTCCATAATTCAAAAGGACATAAAAATGCGTTGTGCATGAATCATGCCAATGACTCTTGTTGATAAGTCTGGCCATTTTATTGGCTTTTCAATATTTCCAGAAGGATTGCGGAGGTTAAGGCTAATGAAAGAAGGAAAGCTCTCGAAGAGATTTTGTATGCATTGGTGGTGCAGAAGTTCATGGATGCCAATGTTTCTCTGATACCCTCTGTAACTCCAGATCCTTCGGGTCGAGTTGATTCATGGCCAAGTGAAGATGGGAAATTTGAGCAGCTTCACTCACCTGAGGCCTATGAGATGATCAGAAACCACTTAGCTCTCATTTTGGGTAATCGAATTGATGATGCAAGTTCTATGGCTCAGATCAGCAAACTCAGGGTTGGACAGGTTTATGCTGCATCAGTGATGTATGGTTACTTTCTTAAGCGAGTTGACCAAAGGTTCCAGCTGGAGAAGACAATGAAAATTCTTCCTGCTACAGCAGAAGAGAATGGTGGACAGCAAATTGTCATGGATGGTAGAAGACCAAGTAATGGAGAAGATCCTTCTCAAGGTATGGCCCATCCCGAAGTCTCTACCTGGCCTGGTGGTGGTGTCAATCCTGAGGGTTTTGGCTATGGCGTAAAGCCATCCAGGTTACGTACCTATGTGATGTCCTTTGATGGTGAGACCCTTCAGAGATATGCGACGATAAGATCCAAAGAGGCCGTCAGCATCATTGAGAAGCACACAGAGGCATTGTTCGGAAGACCTGAAATAGTGATAACACCGGAAGGGACAATTGACTCTTCAAAAGACGAGAACGTGAAGATTAGTTTGGTGGTTTGAAGAGCCTTGTTTTGGAGGCTGTGACTTTTGGTTCTTTTCTCTGGGATGTTGAGAGCTTTGTGGACTCGAGGTACCATTTTGTCTTGAACTGAGTGCTGCTGTGTCTACCATGGCAAAGTTGGTACTGAACACCTCACTAGTATTATTGAAATCATAAAATGTAATTATGGTGTTAAGATCCATATAATATTACACTTAATTGATCTGTGCACGGCGAGTTTTCCCACTTTCTTGTTGAGTGGAAGTTTTTCTTCAACTTGGTGTTTGCCTGTCTAATTATTCATTTTGGCATCAACAAATCTGTACTATGTATAGTCGCAACGCCTGGTATAGTGCTGCTGCATAATTAGTCGTCTTGCATTGTGCTGCCAAATTGGCTTCACTTACGGTGTAAAATGTTGCCTGTACGTGGAGATCAAAGCTTCATCCCGACGAGTCATGCTGCCTTGCGTACGCGGACTTGGGGATTGGAGAGGCGAACTTGGCTATCGCGTCCTTTATGTTAACGTTCATCAGTGTAGTTCATTCTTGATATTAAGGGTTTGAGAATGTAAGAAGTTCAGAACTTCTGTGGATGCATTAAAAATTTAACTATGCGGTCTTTTTTTTTTTTTTTTAAACAGCTAGCCTGTTTTGTTTGAGAAATAGGTTCCAGTTTTATGATACTACAGAAGTCTTCCAGGATGACTTGGATTATTTTAATAAAATCGTTTAAATTTAAAAAAATTAATATCAATAAATGGTAAATGATGCTTGTAAAATTATTTAAACGCTTACTGAATAGAGGGTTGTTATGCTTGTATTGAAAGTGGAATTCACATTGATCCAACTTTTATAGTTGATGGAGTAAAAATCGCGTCGAAAAGGCTACCTCTAGAAACCGGGTCATATAGAAGATAAATCAATTGGGAGCATGAAACTTGTGACACATAATGAACAGCAATAGATGTACTTAAATCCTGACATGGGAGAGTCTAAATAACACGAGTGTGATGGGTAATTCAAACAACACAGCTATTTCTAAACATGCAGTCAAAAATTAAATCTTTTACTATAATTATTTTATTAATCAAACAACTGATGAGTTGAGAATTCTGTTTGAATGGTACTCAAAGCTCTTGTATAGTATGGATTGAATGATCTTATATGTTATGGAATTAAGTTCTAGTTAAAAACTTATATCCTCGTCTCATTGTGTACTAAATCCAATTTTTTAGTCAAAGTTTAAAAAATAAATTATAATTAAGTTAAAATTATAATAATTAAATGATTATTTTTCTCTAAAAAATTATTTAAAAAGGCCATCCACAAAACCTAAAAACCATATAAAAGTCAATTCAGCAAACATAAATGAAATTTACTTCTATCATTTTGAAAAGTCAATTCCTAAAATAGAATCTACATTTTTTTTCACATATCTTTTTATTAAAGACAATCTTATTTTAGAAACACGGTTGGATAATAAATGTAGGGTTGTGGACACCTCTTCCAATGAGAATATGAATTTTGATTAATCACATTACAAAAGACTAACTTTTTTGCTAGACTCAACCTCCGTTAGTAAATGGAATCTACTTTAAACACAATCAATATTAATTATTAAACATGGACACCTTTAAACAAAATATTCAAATATTACTTCACCACATGGTAGGAAATTAATCATTCTACTAGAGCTAACTCCTAAACCAAAATTATATTAAAAAAATGTAAAGAAAAGACAACGAATAGTATATAAAAAATTTGTAAGTATAAATTAATAAAATAATTTTATTATTCAAAGTAATCAATCCATTTGTCTTAAATTATAATATAAGTTTATGCATTCTAATAAATCTTGTAATGACATTTTATAAACTATTTTTTTTCAAAACTTTTAAAAATATCCTCTAATTTAATATAAATTTAAACTTATTGCTATTTCAATTTTCTCACCATTTTAAGTGTAATGTTAAATAAGTATCAATAATAAAATGTTTTTTTGTCAAATTATAAAGGGTTAAGGCGCAAAGATACTAATTAAGTGATCGGCCAGAAATATCTAATAATCTAAAATAAAAAAAAAGATAAAAATATCATAACGTTATTAGAGTTGGTACAAAAGTGATTAAACAATTAACTTTACCTTAATGTTGTTAGTTTTCGATATTAAATGCTGATTATGCTTGTTATGTATTAGTCTTTGTTGATGTGGATCAAAAAAGGGAAAAAATATCTACTAAGTCATTAGCTAGTACCATCCAACACCTTAAAGTGAGAAAAAGAATAAAAATATACATAATATTATGAAGTTGGTACAAAAATGATCAATCCATCAAATCTCTTAAATGTTGAGTATTTAGCTGACACATAAGCAGAAGTTGACCATTTTTTCACTGACGTAGACAAAATATATTCCTAGGTTAATTTCTACTAAGGTTGATCAATGACGTATCTCGCTAAATCTTATTTTTTCACTGATAATCCCACCTCCTTCGTCCCTCCCTCTCCACTTATTCTTTTTATATGTAAAACTTAAAATTCAATACAGTGAGATAAATTATACACAATCAAAGATTGAGATTAAGCATACTTCCTACACTGCCTGCCTTTAGAAGATTGTCACAACCTTAATCAATTTCATTTATGATAGGTTCAAAATTCTTAAATGGTTTTCGTCAATGCTGCAAAGAAGCAAATGATTTAACTTGATGGTTAGTGAAGACGAATTTTTCCACATGATATGTATACGATAACCTATTACCTTCATAGAATTTCACTTGCAAATATTTTTTATCCACATTAGTGGAAAAATGATCAACTTCTGCTTATGTGTCAGTTAGTTAAACAGTCAATATTTAAGGAATTTGATAGATTGGTTACTTTTTCATCAATTTTGATAATGTTATGAGTATTTTTGCCCCCTTTTCACTTTAGGCTACTGGATATTTCTAGTTGACTATTTCGTGAGTATTTTCTCTCTCCTTTTTAGTCCATATTCGCAAAGATTGACATGTGTCAATCACAGTGAGCATTTAACACAGAAAATTAAGCCTTTAAGATAAATTAAAAGTTAATTACTTTTACATTAATTTCAGTAATATTTTGAGTTTTTAACTATTTTCTCATTTAAGCTAATAATGTTTCTTACTAGTTACTAATCACTTTTTTTTTGAGTAGGCAAATGTTGACACGTTTGCAGGCGCGGTTCGAACCCGCGATTTAAGCTCATAAGGATGCTGCTATGCCAGCTGAACCCAAAGTTCTTGGCCTAGTACTAATCACTTGATAGATTTTTATACTTTATTCTAATTATAAAATTCATAAAATTCCAACAATGTTTTATAATTTGTGAGGGAGTGAGGTAGTGAGTATTATTTTGTCTTTGGCGAAAGAAAAGGCCGGGCTAATTAATTTTCGACCCCGATCGAACTCATTATCGGAAGCAGCGGATCCATTTCTCTTCGTCGACGAACCAGCATTCCACACGCCTTTGGACGCCGTCCACCGTTGTTAACCCCGCTTTGTTGTTCTTGGGCAAGCAGCGAAGAAGGTTCGAACCCTAGGGCTTTTTGTACTCCCAAAATCCGGTTAGGTTGATTTGTTCAATCTGACTTTGAATTTGTGCCCCGCGTCATCTGTTCCCTGCTTAGATGTTCTTGCTTTGTTTTAAATTTTTCATTTTAAGCTGGCTTTCAATCTGTTCGTGTAATCGTTTGAATATTGACGCTTTTGAATTTTTGGAATATTTACATTGAGTTTTTTTTTTTTGTACTCGTTTTGCTTTAATGGTGTGTAATTGGCTATTATACTTCTTCCATCTTCATTTTGATTTGCTAGCGACTTGTATGATTTGGATTGGTTGTTTCTCAATGTTGGAATTGTTGTGTATTGGCATTCTGTTTATTAATCTTTTTATATTATCATCAATTTTGGAAAATTGTCAAGGTATTTGTTATGTATGATCTTGTAAATGACTTGGCTCGAGTTGTGTCAAAGTATCTGGAACAAAAATTAAAAGGGCATGATATCAACTATGCATATTTCAAAGATTTCGGTGGCCACTGAGTGCACTATAAGTCCGCCTGTGTGTGTGTGTGTGTGTGTTAGGCAATTATGAGTATTTGAATTGTATTTAGGATGTTTCGCTCCTGAGTGTTTTGTTGTGGAATTTTCTATCTGGTCCTTAGTTTGGAGAAGATAGAACGGGCGAATAGGATGAAGCCATATTTGGTTTAATTAATCTTAAGCCACAAGAACGGCAAATCTGTCAGCTTTTACCCTCCTTTGTAAAATATATAAATGCAATATCATGTATGCATTTTTCTTTCAAATTCAATATATTTATTGAACATATAACTGAGTTTAAATGTGCTCCAATAAGAGTGTTACTTCAGAAACTTAGAGCACTGGAGGAGCTGTTTCTCAATCTTTGTTCTCATTTCGACACAGTGGGGCTCCACCTCCACATCCTTCCATTTTCTGCTCTACCTTTTTCCCATTAGCCCATTAGGGGTCAGATTCATCATCTTTCATCAGCCTCTGAAATTTTAAAATAAATATTGTTAGTATCATGTCAATTATTGAGTTAGTCTCATAGAATTCTCTGCTGCCATAGATATTCTGAAGCAAATGCTGCGTTTTGCTCCCATAAAATTTTGACTCATGCGTATTCAGGTGCCATGAGTATAAGGTGGCCAAGAGTATTGACACCTACCTACCTTTCCCAGATTATACAATTGCAAAAAAACCCATTAAAGGCTCTCCAAATTTTCAGTGAAGTCCAATCAAGGTACCCCAAGTACCACCACAATGGTTCAGTGTATGCCACTATGATTAGCATCCTTGGAAAGTCAGGGCGAATCACAGAGATGAAGGATGTGATAGAGCTGATGAGGGAGGACTCATGTGAATGCAAAGATTCAGTCTTTGTATCGGCTATCAAGACATATGCTGAAGCTGGAATGATAGATGAGGCTATCTCTCTGTATCATAGCATTCCTCGGTTTAACTGTATTAATTGGACAGAATCTTTCAATACCCTGCTGAAGATATTGGTGAAAGAGAACATGCTTGAAGCTGCTCACCATCTTTTTAGGGAGAGTGCTTATGGTTGGCAAGTGAAGTCTCGCATTCAGCCCTTGAAACTGCTTATGAAAGTTCTCTGTGAGAAGAACCGATCTGATCTTGCGCTGCAAATATTCCAAGAGATGGACTATCAAGGTTGCTACCCAGATAGAG